AAAGGAGCTAACTAATGCTTGTTCTGTGGAAGTTACCAAAGTTGTTCTTGAAGACTTAGGGGATAAAGTTTTTACTCTTATGGTTGATGAATCTAGAGACGTCTCAATCAATGAGCAAATGGGAGTTGTTGTGAGATATGTGAACAAATTTGGACATGTCATTGAACGTTTTCTTGCTATGGTGCATGTCAATGACACTTCGGCGCTTTCTTTAAAGAACTATATTGATGACTTGTTTGCAAAACATAAATTGTGAATATCAAGATTAAGAGGTCAAGGATACGATGGAGCTTCTAATATGCGAGGTGAGTATAATGGATTGAACGCTCTCATCTTGAAAGAAAATTCAGCCGCAAGGTATGTCCATTGCTTTTCACACCAACTCCAACTAGTTGTTGTTGTTGTAGCTAAGTGTAATAGAATTGTGTGTGACTTTTTTCAATATGTCACTATGATTGTGAATGTTACCGGGGCTTCATGTAAAAGAAGAGATAGACTTAGACAAATAGAACATGAGAGACTTCTAGAAAGTTTGGAAAGTGGGGAGATTGTAAGTGGCAAGGGGAAAAATCAAGAAGTTAGTTTGAAAAGGCCATGAGATACTCGTTGGGGATCACATTACATTACTATTATTCGCTTGATGTCTATGTGGAGTTCCGTATTAAAAGCTCTTGAGAATGTGTATGAGGATGGTGCTAATGAAGAGCGAGGAATAGCTTCAAGTTTAATTGATAAGATGGAGAATTATGAATTTGTATTTGTGATGCACTTGATGATATATCTACTTGAAATCACAAATGAATTGTCTCTTGCCTTGCAACAAAAAGATCAAAATATTGTCTTGGCTATTCATTTGATTAGTACAATGAAGGCCCAGTTACAAGAATTTCGAGATAATGGATGGGATAATCTCTTCAAGGAAGTGAATCTTTTTTGTGAAAATCAAAAGATTCCATTATCTAATATGGAAGAACATGTGAAAGTTCATGGTCATAGTAGGCGAAATGGAGAGACAATTTCGAATTTGATCCACTTTCGTGGGGGAATATTTTGTGAGGTATAATTATTTTACATCTTCTTTTATTATAAATTGATAATAATACTTTTGCTCAATAATGTTGTCTTTATGGTGTGATAGGTTCTTGATAAGATGATTTCAGAGATGAGCAATCGTTTTCCTGAAGCAAGTACAGAGTTGTTGAGTTGTATTGGATGTCTTGATCCAAGAAACTCTTTTTGTCATTTTGACATTGACAAATTACTCCGCATGGCTGAACTTTATCCGGAGGACTTTTCATGTACTCATCGTGTTTTACTCAAGCAACAACTTCAGACTTATATTCATACCGTCCGGGATCATGATCAATTTTCTACGGTTGATGATTTAGGATGTCTTGCCAAGCAAATGGTTCAAACTGGAATGAACAAGGTTTTTTCATTGGTATACCATCTTATTGAGTTAGCTTTGGTTTTACCGGTTGCAACTGCTTCAGTAGAAAGAGTCTTCTCTGCTATGAAAATTATCAAGACTGATTTGCGCAATAGGATGGGAGATGAATGGATGAATGATAGCTTGGTTGTATATATCGAGAAAGAGATTTTTGCAACCATTGAAAATGAAGTAATTTTGCAACGCTTTCAACAGATGCGAACTCGCAGGACACAATTATCTCCCCTAATTTCTCAGAGTAGTTAGTTTTGGACTTATATGTAACATTAAGCTTTACGACACTTAATTTAGACAATCATATGTGTTTTTTTTCTAAATTTATTATGATGTATTTATTTGATACATTCCTCGGCACCTGCTCGAAAAAAGTTCTGGTTCCGCCGCTGAAGGGTACCATCTTAACAACTAGAGACCTTGCAACCTAGGTAACAAGAGTTCTATGAACGTCAAAAATACAATGCTCATGGTTTTTGGCAAAACACTTTTGTAAAATCTCTCGTGAGAGGTTGATTACATAGTTTAGAACTGAGATGTCTCTGATACCACTTAATCACGTCCCAGACCGCATCTAAGTGCGTGTACAACCGTCGTAAGACCAAGTGACGTCACCCGCAAGTCAACGTGACTTAATCATACAAGGCGTCTATGACCATAAACCATCCATACTCAGTAGTAAACATACATAACAACATCACATTTAAACCAATGAATAACGGAAATATTCAACGGTAAATCATGGGTCACAACCGGCCAAGACATGGGCTCACAGGCCCAAAATTGTTTATAGTAAAATAAATATCCATGAGCAAGTGTTTGTTAGTTTGAAAGGAATTAAGGAAGCATAAACCACGTCTTCCTTGAGTTGACTTCACCCATAAGAAGGTGCAGGTAGCAAGCCCTAGCTTCAACCTGAAAATGGTGCCCCCCCTAAGGGGTCAGTACAAGTACCGAGCGAGTAGCAAGCTAAATGTAGAGTAACTAACGTTTCAAGTATAAGACCCAAACATAGGGTGATATATATACATATGATCCTTTCTCCAAGTTATAAAATACTTACCAGTATATATATATATATATATATATATATACTTGGAAATACCCGACCCATAGGTCATTGTTTATTTGAGAAAATAGTAGAAGTCAATATTCCTGACTCAAATCCCAATCCACCCATATGCCTATGAGTGTATAGGACTCCTCCTGATCCAAATCAATTATACTTATGAGTTTTAAGGACAGCGCCGTCGTCCTAGGGTCCTCCACCATTTCTATATACGAGTTTTAAGGACAGTGCCGTCGTCCTAGGGTCCTCCACCATTTACATATCGAGTTTTGAGAACAGTACCATCGTCCTTGAGTTCTCCACCATTTATATACCGAGTTTTAAGGAAAGTACCGTTGTCCTTGGGTTCTCCACCATCTTATATTCATTCCTATGATCTACCACTTATCATTCAAAGATAGGGTCTATATCATAATCATTTATCGAGACTAATCAAGTCTTATAGCCTAAGCATAACGATCTATGCAACACCATGCACGTAAATCAACGTATAGGCAAACGATACCAACCCGGTTAAACCGTACTCAATCGGCACCGGTTCTATATATGTCCAGCACCGATTGCTCCTCGGACAACCGGTCAACCTTCCGTTGCCCGCTATTTAAATTCCGACTTGTGTCAAACTTTATCACTACATGAATTAAGTTATAAACAATTATTTTATGCCTTTTTCATCCTTCTAAACTTCACATATATTTTCATAAATATTTGCATACCATATTTCATGCATATCTCAATAGTTCGTTTCATACGAGCCTAATCACATTGGCTAATCACATGTTTAAATCTCTTTTAAACATCATTATGAACACATATAACATTTACTTAGGTAATCTCATGCTTAACCCAAAAGTTACAAGACATTAAGCCATCCACTCACCTCAAATGAGCTTTAAGAGGTTCTACCCTTCTTAGTTGAACACCGGCGAAACTCCGGCGAACTCCGGAGAACTCTAGAAACAATTTAGTCAAGGTCCTAACATGGTCTTATCATCACAAAACCCATATCAATACAAATAACCTCTAAAAGGTTATTTTTCCAGCGAACCGGTCGTTTTGGCTTCTAAGTCCGTTCTTGGACTTAGAACCACCTTCCAACCCCTCATTCTACATTTCTAAACATGTAGAACAAGACTAGGAGCTCCTCATATGCTAAGCTAGTCATATAATAAATAAAAGATAGAAGAAAGGTCATTAAAGAGCTTCTCATCTTTATTGTCAAGGTTTTTCTCTAATTTGCAACCTTTTCCTTCTCCCTTAAGCTCCTTTCATGCTTGAGCTCTCTTGGCTACGGAGAAATAGTGTTTTCAGGGGTTTTCCCTCTCTCCTGGAATGGCTAGGTCGAGCAAAGTGATTGGGGTGGGAGGTGATGTGTTTCTTTTGTCTCAATTGTGAGATAATTGAGAGGGGTGGCCCACTCAAGGTCATACTTACACCAACCAATCACTCTCACTCATTTTACACCACTCTGCTACACCATGCATCTCTCCAAGTCAACCATTTAGCACACAAAAGCGTGGGGTGGCCTCACTCATGTGGGAGGTCATCCATTTATGTCTCGAACTGTACAATCAACCCCGAAAGTTGTATTTCTCAGACTGTTTTAATTATATTTTATTTTATCGGGCCAAATAAAATATATCATCCGTCCTCAACCACTATGGACCCTTAGAATGAATATACATTCCCCAACTTTAATTTAGAAATCTTTGAAATCATTTCGGACTGTTATCCGATAAAATACCAATACCGGTAGTTGGGCCTTGTTTGACCAACCGGTCAACCCTATGCCCTTTCCATGACCCAATTAAAATATCCACCATCATATACATATTATCTAGCCCAAGACGAATATAATATGTGGTCTCGGAAATATAGGGTGGTCCCCGCTCCCGATGTGGGCCCCACGTGCACTCTACTATTCACGCAAAAGTAATAACAAAAATTTACAACCTCGTAAGTTCATAAATCGTTATTCAAGATTTATTACATGATTTACAAAAAAGTAAATATACTTGGGGATGATGTTACATATCATGGAATTGATCATGCCTTGCATTTGATTTCATTCTTTACTCTTTGTGCGCTCCTTGGTCTTTATGCACATGCATGTTTGAATATATTCAATTTTAATACTTGTATCATATGAGTACTTATATGATCATGAAAAGTGGTTTAAAGTATCTCAATCCTATAACCAAGCATGAAAAATTATATACGAGAAGACTTCGAAGATTAGAGTGCATGCTCTTGATTCTCACTTAGAAAAGTTAGAAGTAACAACCAACAACAACAAAAGCAAGATTTGAGCAAATTTAAATGACAACTACAGCATTAGAGTATTTTCAATTTTTTTAAATTGTTTGTACTTACTTTGATCCTCAATATAGTTCTATGATGACCGAGTTATTCGTTAGCTTAGTTTAATTGGTCATTACTATCTTACAATAGATTACTCGTAGATATTTTGATATGGAGTTTTACCATCTCAATAGTCAATCCTAGTCGATTAGATAATCTCAAGCAAGAATAAAATTTACACACTTCACATGCAAATGCTTTTTTGATAAAATAAGAAAAGATACAATATATTATTGGCACAACCATACATAAGAGATATTTGATCACAACTCGACATGATTATGCTTGCTAAACTTAGATATGGGAGTCTAAAACTATAAAAAGTTTTTCATTATCTCTAATCACCTCTATGGAATCAATTATTATTCCTTCTTCATCAGTAAGAAATGCATTTGTTGCGTCAAATCCAAACTTCTCACCTGTAAAATATATCATTAAAATATTGAATCCCCCCACTACTTCTTAACAAGTATTGTATTGATAAATAAATAAACAATATCGACATATAGGATAAAGAAATACATACAAAAATAGTTATGGTTTTAATTAATTAAGTACCTGCAATCATCTTTAGCTCAACTATCGTGTTTGGAAGTTTGATTAGCCTCCCAGATTCAGTACAGTGTGTTTCACGCCTCATCTTAGGATGCCCTCTATAGATGCTAACTCTAACACAACATTGTTGCATAGCACTTTTATTATGTTCTTCCTTAGCCCACCTTGAAATTACAACACCATTCACGATGTCAGGCATTATAAACATGTGGCTAGTTAAATCATCAATCTCTGCCCCATTCATTATCAGGAGTTTTATCATGGATGCATTGCCTTCAGCCACCGATACTTGCATGGCAGTCATTCCATCGCTGCCTCTCGAATCCACATGAAGTCCGTGTTTCAAAAGTCGTTGCATTGTAGAAGAATCACCCATCTTTGCTGCTTTGCATAAGAGATCTCCAGCTACGTATGGATCAGAGATGGATGATGCCCATTGGTACAAAATACTAAATGTGGAATGTTGGTTTGCAGTTATAGCATCCCATAGTGCTGTATTACCTTCCACATCTACATATAAAAAGAGTCTTAACAATAAGAACAAAATACACACACACATTCAAATTACATTCTTGATCTATCAGTGGAAAAAGATTAAAAATATAAATAAACCTTTCAAATGAATGTTACATCCATGTTTATGGAGAACTCTTACACACTCTTCATACCCTTTTGATGCTGCAATGTGCTGATGAATTGAATAAATAGAAAGTTGTCATTACACACACTATAGTGGTCAAATGGAAGTGGTTAAGCAAACTATATGTTTTACTAGTAATATTGTATTGCCTCTATTTATAAATAAAGTTATCACTTTGACGATTAAGCCAAAGTGTGTTAGATTTGTCTGTCAATTAAATTATAGTAATTAGAGACTAGCTTTAGGCATAGTAAAAAATCAAAGTGAGAACTTTATTTTGGGATTTGGATGTATAATCATAAAAATAGTATCAGTAAATGAACATTTGAATTTATACCAATAGAGTCTTTCCTTTAGAGTCTCTAATATTAGCATCCATTCCTGACTTTAGCAGTTCATCAAGAAAAGTTGCATTGCCTGTAGCCACTACTGTGAACAAGTTAATAAAGTTGTTTGGATCCCCGTCTTCTCTCCGGATGTCAATAAACAAATCGTCTGGATTGAGATCCCTCAGCATTTTGTGGTACTGTATGTTTTAAAAGGCCCAATTAGTTGGTTTTACTAGTTAACAAGATATGAATTTGAAATTTATCGTATAAAAAGCTTGAATTTACCTGAAGAAAGTTTTTGATAATTGTAATATTATCTTCAAGTTTAATTTGCATAACATGAATAAGAATAGCAGTTTTTAACTTAAGAAGTTGAGACAGAGTCTTAGTTCGATATGTAAAACTTGGAGGATTGTTGCAACAAAAGGCACCAATGTCCCCGAACATATCTCCAGATTTCAAAGTATAAACAGGTTTTTCATTCTCCATCTCTCCTTCAATCATATCCACTTCCCCTGATACAATAATATAAACATCGTCACATGATTCATTCTTCATTATCACATCCTCCCTAGGAGGAATGTACTCTGCCTTCATATCAGCAACCTGAAATCAGTGCATATGGTAATTGTTCAAATACTGGATTAGAATCAATAAGAATCCTACACATTAGACTTTAGACTTCTACTCTTGTCAATTTGACTTATATGTATTTACGTACCAGGAGCAACAAAGTGTCTCTTGAAACTCCACTGAATAGATAAACTCGCTCGACTGTTGGTAGAAACAAATGTTGGCTAATACTTTTGCATATTGTTTTGGGAAGTTGTTCAATCAATGTCTGTCGGTTTAATCTTTCTGCCCTAAATCTTAGACACATGAAACCCAAGATCTGCTCCTTCAACCTTGCAGGTAAGTGGTTCCGTCCCACAAAATTTGATGCTTCTTCAATGTTATTTCTCTAAACCAACAATCATCACTTCATCAAACATTATAGAGAAACTTTCATAAAAAGGACGAATACATCCGCTTTTACCGAAAATAAGACCAATTGACTTGCAAAATATGTGATTCCATATAAATTTAACCTTTATTTAGGACAAAATAATTTTTATATTAGGAATAAAAAATTACTAGTTCTATTTGATAACTCCATCCTTATTGTACTCCTATTATAACTATTATGACCGAATATGTATTATTATTTGAGTAATACATCATGTAAAGTTTTTTATCTATGATCAACTAGCCATTATTTTAGGAATATAAATGAGGTAGTCCTACTTAGGAAAAATAACTAGATTTTTTTAGTCATGTTAGGGATAAATATTTCAGATATTATTAAAAGTTATAGTAATTTAATGCTTTCAGAAAGTAAATACATTAAAATGAATTCATCTACAAAACTTTTGGAATATAACATAATGAAATCTATGGAAAATTAAGGACAATGTTTTTAAAGTTTGTCTTATGAAACTCAAAATGAATATAGAAAAATCAATTAATATCAAAATAAGAATTATTTAGATATGTCAATGCTTACAAATTCCATTGTTCGGCGCGTCCCTTCAACGACAAGATTAGTCATGTTGCCAATAATATAAGAAGTAAGGCCAAGATTGAAGAGCAGATATAAGATGATGAAGATCATCTCCAAAGTGTTGACTGCATGGACGTCTCCATAGCCAACGGTAGTCATGGTGGTAATGGACCAATATAAAGCAGAAATATATCGAATTGTTAGGCTTTCATCTTTGAGATTAAAAGATCCAAGCCAATTTCTCCCTTGGTGTGGATATCTATCTGCTAGAAAGTAATAGAGGCAACCCGCACAATGCACCATCAACAATGTTACCTGCATGCTACGTCATATTTTATTTAATAAAGAGTTACAATTAATAGATACTTTAGTACACATATATAATTACATAAATTTTTATCATTTCTTGTCTAGAATTAATTTATTTCATGTTGAGAATTGGAGTGTGTGATTTATTTTAATTCACTTACAAATAGAAGCCTGCCACATCTAACCCAAAAATAGTTGAACCTAATGTCCTTCTCTAGCCTGCATACAATAAAAATAAATACACATGTAAACATTATACACATACAAGAGAACCATAATGTTTAGCAAGATCAAACCTTGTATTGTTTTGAATATAAAAACTCAGACTAAGAATATAAGATTTTTAGTTAAATAGATATATAGCTAATTTATACGGAAATTACCTTAAATAGGAGTAAAAATATTTTGAAATTCCAAAATAAGATCTTCATGTTTTTATTCTCTAAAGAAGTAATTTCTGCCAAGTTTGGAAAAATTTGGTAGAAACTGCCATTTTAAATCCTGATAATGTCAAACTTGACATAAGTTACTCATCGGGAATCTTCTTAAATATACCTGGTCAAGAAGGAGCTAACTCTTCGGAGCCGCCATAATCTTAGCATTCCTATGACGGAATAACAGATACCTAGCTGATTTTTCCGAGTGACGAAAAATGATGTCACGAGCTCGAATGGAATAGTTGATGCTACATCCATCAAGAACCACGTCGAGAGATACCTGTAACTTCTTATGTTAATAATAAGTTACTATATTTTTTGGTATGACAAAAAATATGATCTAAAAGTACTCATTGTGGCCCAATATATTTGGAACGGGTCCACCCCGCACGAAATATACATCAAAATATCACACTAGATTAGATGAGATCAAACTTAGACATGTCAGTCTTAGATAGGCAATACAAGTATATAATCAGACCAAAACATTTGAGGTTCATATCAAATAAATTGGTTTGATACCAGTCTAAATCTAACTTTCACTTGTAGTTCGATAGTGTGATATAAGTCCTTAGTTTTGTAAGAAAAATATGTGGTTTAAACTGTTTTTGCATAAGAGATTCAGTAATAAGTGATTGAATCTTTTATTACTATGTTTTAAAATATGTTTTTTCATATCTACGTTCTCTATCACCAAGAATAGAGATGAGTCTTTTCTAAAAAATTGAACAATCCAGTCTAACTTCGATATTCATCTTAGAAATCGCTATAAACTTACATTTTTCATGAAGATCTAATGGACTCCTTACATCTCCAAAATATTTTAGACTCTGCATCCTTTCAACTTTTCTACAGAATTATTATGCATTTATCTAAAGAATGATCATAGCCTTGTTTATGGTGATATATGATCTACTTTAACATCTTGCACCACCACCACCATCACCACCACCATCTATCAACGATACGATGCGAGGAAGACTTTAATACAATAATGCACTCTTCACATATCAAATTCCAAGCGTAAACAAAGGACTACCACACAATGAAATCAAATGATGAACTCCTATGTCGCCATACTTGATTTTTCAAAGCGTCATGTAATACTCCCTCTGTTCCCAAAAATACTTCTCACTTTCCTTTTTGGGTTGTTCCCAAAAATACTTCTCACTTTCCCATTTTGGACAATTTGTGTGGCTCACATTCATTTTACCTTTTTCTTACACAATCACAGCCATAGATTTACACTTTATTCCACTTTCTTAATAAGCGTGCCAAGTCAAACCGAGAAGAATTTTTAGGAATGGAGGAAGTACTACGTAGTAGTATACTCCGTATTTTACGGTGGAAGATAGTAGAAGTAATGAGCAAGTAATATGTAAAAAAGTAAGAAAGTGTAAAAGTAAGAAATAAAGGATAAAAAGTAGAAAAAGTAAGGCAATGAAGTATTTTTGAAAAGAAAACTTACTAAAACGGGAAAATGTAGCAAACTTTAAAAGTAAACCCAAAAAGAAAAATGTAGTAGATGCCTTCAGAGTACACAGGGAGTATATTGTTGGGACCCACCACCTAACCATAACAATATGATGAAGTCTTTCGTTGCAAGTGATCCCATTACATATATACCAAATCGTGAGGTCAAACTAAGGAAAACCTTTGCAATGTGGTCAATTTTATCAGTCTCCTACATTATACATGACCCAAGGTAGAGAGTTCATCTTCCCAGTAAAGAGTAGAGCTTCAAACCTTTGACAATGTTTGAACCATAAAGATAACTATAGATCTTTCCGAAATACCTACTAGGAACCTACCTCAAACAATGGAATCATGAGCTATTTACAGATGTATGAATAATAGGTCACTTCACTTTCGGTACCTGGAACTTATTTTTGATAGTTAAAGCTTATTAGATTGCATAAGCTCTTACAAAGAAGCTCTTAACTCATACTTGTAAGAAACATTGGAGTCTCTTCTCACATAAAAGACTATCACTACACTATATTTTGAGAGCCTACCGCAAGGTGCTTAAGTGGATCACTCACATCTATATATGCTATTCTTGTCTCATTGTTCTAAAACTCATTACGCGCTTTGAGGGGCGCCTAGTGCCTAGTCACTGACTAGGCCGATTTTTTGACATGCTAGACCAGTTAGTCCTCTATAGTTAGGGCCGTCTAGCGTTTAGGCTCCGATTAATCGGACCAATTAGGCTGATGTTTAGAACTATATGTCAAATTTCTCTAATACTTGTCTACAAACTTGCCTAGAATTAATCTTCCAAAGAATTTCACATGCTTTCATAAACCTAATTTTATAATAATCTACGTGGCCATTCTATTTTTATTATTATAAACTTCTAGAGAACTTTACGAGCCCATTTGGTAACACCGAAATTGGCTGATTTTGCTGAAATTTATGAAGTTCTGGCTGAAGTTGCTGTATTGGCTGATTCTGCTGATTTGTGAAAAAATTATATTCAAAATATATTTTATTAATAAAATAAAGAAAAATATATGAAAAATAGCTAAAATGGTCATCTACAGTAACTTCAGCCAATACAACCAGAAAAGTAACTTCAATCTTACTTTTTCTTGTTATTACAAAATTCAGCGCACGAAATCAAAAGTTACGTGTTTGATTAAAAAGTTGGTCGAAAAGCCTAATAAGCTGAAAAACGGAGTTACATGAGCTGTTTGGGCTCTACCTCAAACAATGGAATCATGAGCCTACCTCAAACAGAGTTACATGAGCTGTAAAAAGTTGGTCGATAAGCCTAATAGGTAGGAGTATGCCAAAAGTTACATATTAGATTGTTTGGGCTCTACCTCAAACAATGGAATCATGAGCTGTTTTTCAGCTAGAGAAAAGCGCTTAAGCATGAGGAGAGAAGAATTGTTTTTTTTTTTGCGATGAGGAGAGAAGAATTGTTCTTCACGAGATCCCTCTAGAAGATAAGAAAATGCAAAGTGAGGTCAACATCCAAATATGAAGAGGCAAACACAAATTAAAGCAATCAGTCTACGGAAGAATACTTCTTTGGCAAAAACACGCGTTCATGGAATCATGGCTACTGAGTTTCGTATTATACTCCATTACTCCCTTCGTCCCAATCATCTAAGGATGTTTTTACTAGCGCACGGTAATTTGTTGATCCGGTCTGACTTACTCTATTTAGATATAGTCTGGTCTAGGACTCTAGTATGATCGGGTCTGGTCTAGTCTGATCGGGTCTGGTAAACGTCTGGTTTCTGTGTATTTTGTAACTACAGAAGTCAAGTCTGGTCTGGTCTGGTTTGTATAAGTCTGGCCTGGTCTGTTTAAATCCGGTCTAGTCTGGTCTGATCTGTTTAAATATGGTATGGTCTGGTTTGGGACTGAAACCAGTCCAAGTAAAAACATCCTAATATAGTTGAATGTAAGTAATACTTAGAGCCTGTTTGATAACATTGAAATTGGCTAAATTTGTTGATTCTGCTGAAACTTATGAAGTTCTGGCTGAAGTGGTTGTGTTAGCTTATTCTGTTCATTTATGAAAATTTTTTATTTAAAATATATTTTATTAATAATATAAAAAAAAATTATGAAAATATAGCTAAAATGATCACTTACAATAATTTTAATCAATAAAGTCAGAAAAGTAACTCTAACCTAACTTTTTTTTTATTACACAATTCAGAGCGCAAAATTAAAAGTTATGTATTTAGTTAAAAAGATGTCTGATAAGCCTGATAAGCCGAAAAATAGATTCACCAAATGAGCTCTAAGTATGTAGTTGTTGAAGTTGCATTCTGATGAGGTAACAAAGTGTTATAATAAGATTTTAGACAATTCGTCCTATCAGCTTGACATCTTAAGATGAAACTCAAGTTTAAACATCATATCAGAGTCAAATTGATCTGTACATGGTGTGGGCCTCCAACGGAAAATGATGATACAATAATTAAAAATGATAATGATGAACTATTAGATCGTAAGGAGGGATGTTATGTTCCACATCAATAAAATACGAGAGAAAATTGTTGATTTGATTCTGCAACTTATATTTATACATTTTTCATTCTCTAATTTTACTCACTTGAATCTAATCACTTTTCTCTTATAAAATTTCTACCGGCAAGTAAACTTTTGAGTAGAAATTTCCATGCAAGCAGTAGAAATTGTATATATAATTTATTAGATATTATAGATCGACCGCGCTAATAACTTATTTTAGGAGCTGTTATACGATCACAAGGGAGAACTTATATTACCTCACTACATATACTCATACTTCTATTTTTCGAAAAACAATTTTTTTTAATAATTTATTCCCTCAATTGTCCTAAATTTCACACCCCATTAATTCAAGGCCGGGGTATGCGGATTTGATGAATTGAGGTCATAAAAATTCATTTTATATTATACCATAAGCAGAACCACTTAATTACACCCCTTTGTTATTGCACGTATATGGTTCTAGTTATTTAAAGTATAATTATTTAAAGTATAATTGTGCAAAGTTACGAAATTTGGAGTGGTTTTTAGAATGCATAAATAAGATCATATTCTCGAGGTGAAACATATTTGTCAAACTTGGTAATCATATACTAGCACCATTTAATTTTCTCCTCACTTGGACCCTTTTTATTTATCTGAAACAAATAATAATAACGGAATTATTGAATAATAAATAATGTTTTCGGCGTGCTAAAATCTAAATAAGAACTAACGTTAAACATATAAATTTGTCTAAAAGTGAAGTACCAAATTCAAAGGGGAAGAAAAATTCGTTCTGATCTGATAATATGGCATTGGGCCCGGCCCATTCAGTCTATAATGCGACGTTTCACTGAGAATATTAATCAAATGGCCCTCCAGAACGACTTTCATTACTTCAGACAAGAAAAGAATAAAAACACAATTCTGCCACTAGTACCCTACTTGTACATTAGTATTATTGCGTAATAATCATGTGACTTTATTAAATTATATTAGGTTCCACTCACTCAACTTTGTCAAGTTGATGTTAAGTGGGAAATTAGAATAGTAAAATTTGTGTAGTTGATGTTTGTGCAAAGGAGAGAGAAAAGAATAGAGCAACAAAACATTGCTTTAAAAGGAAAGTGCTAAGTTTTTTGAAACAAAAAAAGAAAGTTAACAAACTTCCTAAGGGAATAGATCCAATCTTTTCACCCGTATAGGACATTTTTTGACAAAATTACAATGGAAAGTTCGTGTCCAAATCAATTTTTCCCCACAAAGTAGTATTCCGTACATTGCAGTGGAAGAGACATTAAATTGGACAATTTATCAATCACTTCAAATGGGTAAAGTTATAAGATTAAAATAATCAAACACTACAAAAAACTCACGGGATTGACAGAGATTTTGGCAGGGATTTGGAAGAAATTTTAGTAGGGAAATGCCAAATCCGTGTTAAAAAACACTTTGGCACGAACTATTTGCCACATAAAATTGGTAAGTTCGTGTTAAATTTCGTGCAAATCCCGTAATTTTTTTTAGTGAAAATTTTATGGAGTAACATGTGACTCATGGAGTGATATGGTGCTGCATATATAATATAATTACTCCTAAAAATGGGCATGTTTATCAATTATTACAGTCTACAGAGTAGCATTTTGTATATACTACCTCCGTTTCTATTATATCTTCCAAATAGTTTTGACACACAATTTAAGATAGTAGATATTGTGCGGTGGAGAGCTGTGCAGAGGAGAGAGAAATGTGTAAGAAATGTTGTGAATCACAAATTTTTTACTAAAAATGAAAATGAAAATTTTAATTGGAACGGATGAAAAAGAAAAGTTAGAAGTTTTAATAAAAACGCGGGTAGTATATTAATATTACCATTTACTACTACTCCGTCTTAGACTATTAGTACTACGTACTGTTTTAACCATCAACATGATGAATATTTTATATCAAATCATGATCTATCGTAATTATTATTAGGAGTCTTGTATTGTTAGAAAAGGTGGAATCTCCCGCCCTAGGAGCCCCACCCCAACCCGACAGGATGGTGGGGAGGTTAGTCACGGTGACTTAGTCAGCAGAATGACAGTAGGCTCATACACCCGTGCGCACCAGAGGCCCAGCCTTATTTCAGGTTCTGTGACCTCCACCCGGTCACTGCGGGGATTCGAATCTTGGTCCATTGTTCCAAGTCACTGCGGGTTTAGGAGTCTTTGTATTTTTTGGTATGATGAGATGTTACTCCGTTCCATTATCTTTTTTCTTTTTTACTTAAAGAACGGTTCTAAATAGGAAAAACAATATTTGTAAAATTGAAAATATGACTGTCATATTTTTATTTTATAAATAAGAATGATTACTGTCATATTTTGAGATCACCAAATTTTAAACATGATAATATTTTCAAAGTTTAGCAACAATTATTCCAATTTAGTGGGGCAACATGACAATCATATCGTGGAATTACAAAATGTTTTTACTCCTATTTCAGGAATTTTACCTTTCTATTATTATTAAATTTTCCTTTGCTAATACATATGGGTATTTATGTAATAAACTGCCTCACAGAAAATGTAACATGCAACGTGTACAGTGTACAGTGTACTATAAGTTCTTCAAGTATATTTAACATTTGGTTCTCCAGTTTTAACTAAACTCATTAATGTGATTCTCTTTCCTTAGTTTTCACTATGATTATATATTGGTCATTCAAGTTACCGGTCCAACACCAAATGTAGAAAATAATTATCATAAAGTTTTTGTTTGTAGTGTAGGAATCATGTTATATAAAAAATCATGGTGAGAACTCCTGTACACATTTAAAAAATGGGGTATCGTACCTACCATTCACTTGATTGGTTTAAATAGGTATATCATTTTTAATTTAGACTTAAATAATTCAAATGCAACGTTTTTATTGGTTCATGTGGACAAAGGTATGGTACTTTATGGATACCATAGAATCTACCAAAAATCATGACGTGGCTCATCTTTGATCCCAGTCAACAAACACCAAAGCGTTGAATGGCCATATCGGGGTTGTTTGGATTTCAGCGGGTTGTGCTCAATCCGCCGCTAATAGCAACATTTTGCTATGTAAAAGAAATGACGGTTTGCTCCACCCGCCGAAATCCAAACAGGCACATCATATCATCTATCGACTAGCCTTAAGATGGTCTAGTGGGAATATAATCACAATGTTTACTCATTCTCATTCGGGAGGTTTCAGGTTTGAAACTTCATAGATAGAGTTTCGGTCTATTTACTCAGGCTCCCCTTAGCTCCCTTTCCTATGACCCCCAGGGTAAAAAAAACCACAATGTTTATTGAAGGAAAGAGTACTAAAAATGTGACTACTTATATAGTTATAATTACATTAATAGGTCCCAGATGATTGTGAAGCAATGGGAGGATCAAACTTGAAACTGAATCATGATCATTACAACTATAGGGACGTATCCAGATATGTGAATAGAAATATGAGTAGGGCTGGTATGAAAACTGGTTATACTAGACTTACAAGTTACAATGAAACGATAGTATATAGCTATGTGAGCTAAATGGTACGATAGTACATATCACCCCAAATTTTATAAACTTGAATTTAGTGTAAAAATTTATGTATAAAAATTATCTATAAATTTAGATGCATTTTCATCCATATTTGGGAAATGTATAGTCAACCCGCACGGGTAGCTCAGTTGGTCGAATGGTGCGAGATTTGGAACAATGGACCAAGATTCGAATCCCCGCAGCGACCGGGTAGAGGTCACAGAACCTGAAATAAGGCTGGGCCTCTGGTGTGGTGTATGGACCTACTGTAATTCTACTGACTGAGTCAACGTGACTAACCTCCCCACCATCCTGTCGGGTCAGGGAAATGTATAGTCGTGGAAAAGGGGAGGTACGGACCTGGTAGCAATTTTAGTAGGATGTCGAACAAGGAGGTGAGTGGTGTTATCAATGTAGGCGACGAAGAAAGTGAGGACGATGTCAACGGCGAAAAACAAGTCAACGAGGTTGTCAACGACGTACAGCTGCCGGTTACTCGTCCCGTTTCCCAGGAATGCAATCTCGAATGGGCACACCCATGCAGAGTATGCCACCAGACCCACCATCCATGCCTCCCAACACCTGCATGCATCATGCATCCTCATCATCATCCATCCATCATTTATATGTATGCATCATCCATACATATATATATATACATTTATATATTATCCCAAGATTCCATAAGCTATAATATGGATAAAAGCAATCTCCAATATAATAAACTTGTGTTATCTTCTACTATGTCACTACATCACCTACATGTCATGTTTTATTGCAAAGGAATTGTAAAGGAATACATATTGTCTCTACTAGAAAAGACAAGATTTTATAATATCAACATTACTATATTTAAGAGAAAAGTAAAGACAAGATATTTTGTAATATATTATGAATATTACTGTTTTAAAAGAAAAGTAGTTAGAGTATGAATAATGTAGCAAAAGTAGAAGGGATTGAATATGAAATATAAGATAAAAACTAGAAAAAGTAAGAGTCATTGAGTATTCTAAAAGGAAAACCGATTACCACGAGAAATGTAACAAAAATTAAAATACATCTATAAGAAAAGCGTAGCAAATAAAAGAATACAAAGAGTGTATTTATTAATTTAGAGCGAAGCGAGCAAGTCATTCTCTATATACTTTCTCCAATGTATAATCTTTTGTTTTGAACAAGGAGATTAGGAAATTGAAAGATGAAACATGTATGTGTGAACTTGTTTAGGGAAATGACCATTATAGACCACATAATATTTAGCGTAAGAGAAAATTAAAGTTTTAATTTCAAGACGGAAGCAAAAAATAAGTAAAAAGTACCTTTCATCAAGTAAAAAGTACTACCTCCCTCCCAAAATGATGATCCTGTATTTCCTTTTTGAGATGTCCCAAAATGATGGTCATGTTTCTCTTTTTGGAAGAAAAATGCTAGAAGTACAAACACACTTACAAAAAAACTTACAAACAAGTGATGTGGCTATTCTAATTACCATTAATGTAAAAGTGTTGTAAATGTGATGTGATGTGTTAAATAATGAGATGATGACACATATCTCTTTTGTAAGACTTTGTAAAAGTGTTTGTACCTCCAGCATAACTCTTTTTGGAAAGAAAGATGTGATCCATATCATTTCACTTTATTATACTCAAATCTAAATTACAACTTTTACCTTTTCAACCACTTTTTTAAAACTTGTGCCCAAAAGAAATGAGACCATCAAAGTGGGACGAAGGGAGTAAAAGAAAAGTAAACAATAAGAAAAAAGGAAAAAATAAGCGAGCAAGTCATTCTCTAATCTCTGATGAAGTTTTACTTCTTTTCTATAACTATATTCTTTTTTTTATATCAAATCAGTAAAGAGTAAACGCATTTGTGACACTATCAGAAAATCTTTTGACATAAATGATAACTTCATTTTGGAACACAAAATAAAGAAAAGTGATAATTTCTGACATGAATACTTAATGAGTTTTAATTTCTGCAAACATCAACAATGTACTTTTGCTTGGTACAAAACTACAAACAACATACAATGATGATTCTGTTCAAACAAATGTCTTATATTTAAGTTGTATTTATGTAATTTTCCAAAAAACAGTAATTAAACATCCATCCATTTAAAGAATTGACCTTCTATACACTATATGAGCCTTCATGTCTAGCTTTATGTATGTATATATACGGTCATACCTCAGTATTATAAACTTAATCAATTACCTGTATCTAGAATCCATCGGAGAGATGAGCTTTATTCCCGGAGAAGCCTGGAGGGTCATTTGTGAAGAGCCAAGGGGAGGGAGGATATATTTTGAAAGCTTTCCCAAACTGAAATCTTCATCCACCACACTCTGATCATCGCCAGCTCTCTTCATCATATCTGATCTTCTGCTACCCACCGGCCGGCCTTAGCTCCGGCAGCTAGCTCAGATCACGCTTAATTAAATGAAACCGAAGCTCACCTCTCTTAGCTTACCGGCCTTATTGACATCTGATATTTATATCCATCCCTCGCCTCAAAATAAGTCCTTTCTGTTCTTCCCATGATATATGATAAGTCAGTACAGTCGTACTTGTTTTTATTTCAAAGGCCTTGTTCATGATATTCTTTTGTATATGTCCAAATAATAATTCACACAAATAAAATACAGAGTATAAATTACTCCGCACTAAAATATTAATGTAACACCTAAACCGCACGTCAAAGTTGTTACTCTTAAATACTCTCTAAACCTTAAGTAATGACCGTAATGTCCTCACTCGTGTGTATCCTGAGAAACTTTCTAATGAGTTACTCATCTCAAAACTATCCCGTCCAAAAAAACTTAATTAACTTAAAGTTCTTAGGTGATGAACTCACTTAATAGTATGAGTTGCGTATTATTAATCCTTTTTAATCAAATCTCAAACATTGCAGTTATACTCCCTTTGTCCTTAAATAAAGTTTCTATTTTCCTTTTAATTCTTTTATGTATGTTCCTACATAAACTCATATCTCTCTATTTGTTAAACAAATATTTTACTCTCCATTCCCCTATAATTGTCTTATTTTTTCATTTTTGAATGTTCCTCTATTATTGTCTCAAACCATATTTGGTAACATTTGTGTGGCTCTAATTCATTCTTACTTTACTCCCACTTTATTCTATTTTTCTTAAAAATCACGCTACTCTCTTCCGTTCCAATATTAGAGGGACGGAGGTAGTATCATACTTCCTCCGTTCTTAAATAAATGCAACGGTCAACATTTCACACTTGTCGAGACACAATTTTGACCATTAATATAAATGATTTTGTATTTGTAAAAAAATTAAAAAATTATATTATGAAAATTTACAATGAGACAAGTTTAACAATATTTTTTTCATAAAATAATATTATTACATTAATAAATAAAACGTAGTCAAAGTAGAACATGTGAATAGAGTAAAAGTCAAAGTGTTGCATTTATTTAAAAACGAATGTAGTATATCGATTTGCTCTATTACCCTTAAATAATAATAACGGAATGGTGCAAAACAATGTCAAAACATTGTACCATAAGGTAAAACTAACTCCCGAAAAAAGCGGCATTCATTTCAGGAAGTCAAAGGAAAAAAGGTATTTCTTTAATAGTGTGTAATTCAAAACGGAATCTTTTTATAGACACGGAGAGTGTGTAATATATGTGGCATTTTACGTTGAAGTGTTAAGAGTTGATCTGATTCATAATCATGAGATGTGCACACATATACAACATCCAAGCCTTAGTCCCAAAAGAGGTGTGCACACATATAAAAATGAAAAATTAATTGACGAAAAAGAAGCAAATAAATGGTACATAATTCAAAGTGTCCATTGGTGAAATGTGTTGAAGTGTTATCTCCATATTCATAAAATGTAATCTATTTAACTACTACAAAGCAATAATATGATAGTATATAGTAATCAAGTTAAACTATGTAGTAACTACTAACTAGCCATGCTACATCAAAGCAGACATTTTAAAAACAAGGGCTTATATACAAGGACTCATTTCACAAATTAATTTCTTATAACATAAGTAATTTTTGTGATGATTGAATATCTCTAAGGCCTCATTTGTGTCATTATGCTAGTTTTTTTAAACGTTGTGGTAATTATTATAAACATAATGGGGGGTGTTTGGAAATGGCGTTTCTGCAAAAAAAAATAGTAGTTTGATCCTTTTTAGATTTTTCAATAAGTGAAAACGTTATTTGGTAAATAGTTGTTCGGCTCTAGCATTTTTTTATGAAACCACGCTGAAATAGAAACATGCTAATCACTATGGCCAATCATCTAAATTACCAAATATCTTTTTGCAACACGCTTCTCAAATAACTCATCTTGATTTGAATTTGCATAATCTTGAATTGTTAAAGGAAATTATGTAAACGATTTTTTACAGAAGCAGAAAAATAATACTATCGTATATATTTAACACAGAATTAATAAGAAAATATGTATTAATGATACTTCAAACAATATGCTTATATGCACACATATTATATACGAAGCACATACTTATATAGCTTTCAAATGTAACTAAAATAACATGTGAAAATAGAAGTTCTTGAAATTTTCAAATTTAGAGCATGTTTGGTTACATTGATATTAATAGAATAAGATAAATTTGGTGAAATTCGCGAAGTTCTAATTGAACCGATTGAGTTGATTGAATATATTGAATTACAGAAACTCGTATTTCAAATGATCTTTGTCAATATTGTAAGGAAATATACTTCGTATATATGAAAAATAGCTAAAATAGTCGGCAAATTGAGAAAGAAAAATCACTCCAATAATAGATGACCAAATGACTATTAATTTCTCCCTAAGTTTACTTCCGTATAATGGATGAAAGAAGAGTACGAACTGTACAACTGTACTATACATATGGTGTAGTTGTATGTAACTCAAGAAATTTAAGTAATATAATGGGAAGGGTTGGTAGGTGTAGTCCAATAGAGACCATCGATTTCCAAATCTCTATTTTGTGGTAGGTCTTGAGTTCAATTCCAATCAAGGGAAGATGATGGAGGTCTTGCTCGTAATGATTCTTCTTACCTTCGCGGAGAAGGGACATGATGATAATGAAGGTAGCGGGTTTAGATCCGGATTTAAGTGTCTAGGGACTTTGGAGGGTAGTTCATAGATTTCAGGATTACGGGAATGCAAGTCCGACACCTGAATTATATAAAAAAGTAATATAATGGGAGAATTATTAATTAATTAAGTAGCATATATAGTTGAGGAAAGAAAAGATACCATGTCATGATACTTGGGTTGCATTTATTTTTATGCTTTCATTTGGGACTGGTAAAGCTATTGGTAGGTGATGGAGAATGAATATATTGGGGCCGGCCGGGTGGTCACCCGCGTTGGCACACTCATTCAAATACTTTGTTCAGATATGACATTTGGAAAAGAGATCGAGGGGCCGGGCCGGCCGGTCATCAAGAGTGGATAGCTACGTTGGAGATCAAGTCTAACCTCTAAAGTACAACTTGTCTCAACATAAGAGAAATTGTATACATTATTATTTCTCCAATTTTACCATGTTTGCGATTGATAATAAGTTTGAGTAGTCATGGGTTACAAAACCCTGTTTCTTGTTTCCAAAACACATGGTAAATAGTTCAAATAGATTAATTAAAGTGTATGGTGAATGTGATTGCAAACTAACCACTTTCCACAATGTGATTAGTACGAGGGGAAAACACTAGATTACCTAGGTGTGTTAATAGGGTGGATACTAGCTGAGCCGAGCTTGAAATGGGTATGCTTGAGTTTGATAAGAATTCACGAGCTAAAGTTCAAGACAAATAAATGATTCGGGTTCGTGCTCGAGCTCAACTGGAGTTCGTATATTTAATGTTTATACCGTAGAAGTGATCTCAAATAAGATGTTCGAAGTAGAGCTAAAAGTAAAATACTATCATAAATGATAGAAAGACTCTAACATGACAACATTTATTATGATGCTACTCCTATTTTAGAAAGAAAAAACATAGCAATTTTATTTCAGAATTTTAAAGGAAAATTTGACTTTATACCCCACTTTTTAGGTGATATTGGACTTTGCAGCTCACTTTAAAAAAACTTTGAGTTTGCACCTTATTCCCTTAAAATGCCTTTGACTTAGCACCCCCTTGACAAAACGTAGGGTAGTGGGGGTGCAAACTCAAAGTTTTTCTTCTACTTCCCTTCAAAATTCATATCACGCATAAAGTGAGGCACAAATTCAAAATTCCTCAATTCTAAAATCTGTTTACTCTTATTTCGGGAATTTCCCCTGCCTTCTATTACGAGAACTATTAAGGGCATCCTCATCCATGAGATTATTTACAGTTTAATTGAATGACGTGTATGATTATTTTAAAGATCATCATTGTGAATGAGAGATTATTTAGGACATTATTGAAAAAGAAAATCCAGTATCAAGATTTGAATCCCGGTATTATTTTAGATTTTAGTTAAATTGCATTTAATGCATCATCTAGAATATCTAATTATTTGAGTATCATGATTACGTTGATGAAGAGTTTTAAAACTTGAAATTATTGAGATGTACTGAATAAATGTGATGTGACAATGACGTGTAATCGAAAAATCAATTCATAACGTACCCAATCAGATTCGAAGATTTTAATCAAGTTAAAAACATTTTAAAACTTTAAAACATACTCCGTATGAAAAGACTAGACTAACCAAAAGACTTACGATGGAAGTGAGCATCTATTTGACCATTTTGACGCCATTCAAATTGGCGGCGAGTCGGGTTGATTTTTACGCTAATCGACTAAAATTATTCTTTCCCACTACTTGCACATCAATGCAACCTGTAATTGTTACTCGGACTTTTTAAACCAATTTGTAATACGATAGTATGAAATTCGGGAATTTTTAAATCGATCTATCTAATTCAGAAAAAAATAACCAATTTATTATTAAAACTTCTTTTTTTTACTAATAAGTCTCAAGTGGTTCTTTTACCAATTTGATAAGTCATTCTTTTTTTTTATCAATTTGATAATTCGGCTGTTTTGTTTTATCCACCTTAATTAACTTTATTTTTGTTAATTGTTCATATTTTATTCAGATTAAATAGTAAATATTTCAGACGTAGTAGTAGTTTTTTGAACCAAATATTCATACGTAGTACGGTAGTATTAGTTAAGACATTCAGAACGGATTACACTACAAAAAAAATCGCCTGTAGTCACGAATTTGGTCCGTGACTAGTTAGTCACGGTTCTAATCACGGTGTAGTCACGGAATCGTTAAAAAAAAGTACTCACGGATTTGTCCGTGACTACGTCCGTGACTAGAGGTAGTGACGGACCTAGTCCGTGACTAAAGTGTTCCGGCCAACCCATTTTCGCCTCCGGCGGGATTTTTTTAAATTTGAAATTAGTCACGGACAAGTCCGTGACTAGTACCGTGACAAGTGAAAAATTGATTTTTTCAACGTTCCAAATTAAAAGTGCACCGACAATTCGTACAAAAAACAGTAGTCACGGACACATCCGTGACTACGTCCGTGACTACAAAATTTATATATGCAGCCTCGGCTTCCTTCAACAAAATCACACCTTCTACGTACTCCAGATAGATTTCCAGATAGAATTGAAGGATGTAATCTACCCATCTCATATCATTTTTCCTGTTTATGCAGATAAGGTATGTAATTTGAATTACGTATTTTTTGTAAATTAGTTAAATATGTAAATTTGTTAATAAATACATATGTAAGTATATTATTAAATATAATATTGGCAATACATATGTTATTAATTTTAAAATATAGGATTAAAATTACGTAAATTAGTTAAATACGTATGTAAGTATATATGATTAAATATAATTTAAATGCATATTATTAATATTAGTTAATAAATGTAAGTATTATTTAATTCAAATGACTTTATATATATATATATATATATATATATATATATATATATATATATATATATATATAAGTCATTTGAATTAAATAATACTTACATTTATTAACTAATATATGATACATTTATTAAGTATCATATATATATATATATATATATATATATATATATATATATATATATGATTAAATATAAGTATATGATTTCTTTATATTGGCAAGTATTGTTAATTAAGGCGGCCTAATTTAGGATTAATAATGATTTAAATTAGGGTTAGTTAATTTAATTTAAATGTGTTTATTATATATATATGCTCAAATTATTGAATTTGCTCATATTATTTAATTTAGTACGTAAATTGTTAAATGTGCATTATTAATAAGATTAAGATGTTGATAATTTTAGTATTGTGGATTAAATTAATGTCATTAACGTATTGTGCATGTTTATAGTTTAATAATATTAATTATTGGACGTTAGTTAATTTTAATGGGATTTTAGTGAATTTTAGTGAAATTTTAGGCAATTAGTTAATTTTAATGGAATTAGTTAATTTTAAGGGAACTTTAGGGAATTAGTTAATTTTAATTGAATTTTAGTGAAATTTAAGGAAAGTAGTTAATTTTAAGGGAATTTAAGGGAATTAGTTAATTTTAAGTGAATTTTAGTGAAATTTAAGGAAACTAGTTAATTTTAAGGGAATTAGTTAATTTTAACGGAATTATTTAATTTTAAGGGAATTTTAGGGAATTAGTTAATTTTAAGGGAATTTTAGTGAAATTTAGTGAAATTTACGGGAATTAGTTAATTTTAAGGGAATTTTAGGGAATTAGTTAATTTTAAGGGAATTTTAGTGAATTTTAGTGAAATTTAAGGAAACTAGTTAATTTTAAGGGAATTAGTTAATTTTAAGGGAATTATTTAATTTTAAGGGAATTTTAGAGAATTAGTTAATTTTAAGGGAATTTTAGTGAATTTTAGTGAAATTTAAGGAATCTAGTTAATTTATAAAAAACTGTTTTATAAAAAACTGTTTTATAAAAAACTGTTTTATAAAAAACAGTTTTAAAAAAAACTGTTTTAAAAAAAACTGTTTTATAAAAAACTGTTTAAAAAAAAACTGTTTTAAAAAAAACTGTTTTAAAAAAAACTGTTTTTTAAAAAACTGTTTTAAAAAACTGTTTTTTAAAAAACTGTTTTTTAAAAAACTGTTTTTTAAAAAACTGCCTTTAAAAATCTGCCTTTAAAAAACTGCCTTTATTTAAATCAAAATTTGATCTTCTATTATATTTACACAATTATTTGAAAATGTAAATTAATACTCCTCATTAATCAATTATTTTAGATGAGCAATGAACAATCCACATCCCGTGCTCGCCCGAACTATGCGCCCTTAACCCAAGCCGAGCGCAACAATCAAGATTCCGAATGGGTGACACCTCACATGGTTGCTAAATAAGTAACTATGAACTTTATCTAATGTCAAATAATTTTATCTAATTTCAAATAATTAAATAATTTTTTTAATGAACTATAAAAAAATATTAATTTTTTGAAGCGATCAAGATGTGCTCAACCAAATCAAAATCATAATTGGTGGACACTTTCTTGGCAACTGGGCGACGTACACGGATGTTGATCCTAAGGTCCGTGAACTTTGGTGGAACTTGTTCAAGGTAAAAAAATCAATTTTTCGTCATTGATGTAACATAAAATTTGACAAATGATAAGTTAATTTATTTTTTAATAAAGGCCCGGTTTCGCTGGACTGAAGAACAAGGCCCTGCTATTCTAAGGGCGTACAATGCCAGAGTTTCAAACTGGCTTCGTCCCACTTTTAGGCGTGCCCGAGCCAGTGGGGTAAGGCCTCAATGGTGTTCGGATGAGGTATGGGAAAACCTCGTCCGCCACTGGTCTTCGGATCCGACTTTCTTGGCTAGAAGTGAAGCCGGGAAGAAAAATCGGATGTCCGAGAAGGCAATGACGACACAATGGCACGGAGGCCGCAAACCCCAGAGTAAACATAAAGAAGCTCTTGTAAGTCTTATTCAAATAAACCTACACCATTTTAACCTTTTATTTTTTTAAATTTATTTAAACCTTTTTCTAACCTTGTAGGCGGGGCCTCAAAAGAAGAGGGTCCCTATCCTCAGTGTAATCAAACATTGTTGGACGAAGAGCGGTGTTGAGTCGCCAGCCAATCTACCACTCCCCCTTGCTGAAATCGAAGTATGTAACATCAATACTATTATTTCAAAATCATTACTATTATTTCAAATTGAAGTAAATATATTTGAATAATTTTTTAAATGTTTGTAGACAAAGTATAACGCAAATGTTGAAAAGAAGCGGGCGGAACTTGGCTTGACTCAAGAAGATGACATCGATTCTGATGTGGAAGATGATGTCATCCTTGAGGCAACAGGGGTGTACAAGGGTCGGCTTTCATGCCTCGGGGCTGAGGGGCAACGTATTTTGTACGATCGCAGCGGCAGCGGAGCTTCATCATCTTCTCAATCTAGACGAGGAGAGGATCCACGCATTGCCCAATTGCAGCGAGAATTGGAGGAGCAGCAACGTGCATTTGAACAGCAACGCCAGAATGATGAAGAAACGAGGGCCCGGCTGGAAGCGATGGAACGGATCCTTGCTGGATATCAGCCTCCACCTCAACCTCATCCTCGGCCGTACATTATGCACGTTGAGCAGACTCCTCAGGTTCCGCACATGGGTGGTATGGGTTACCACTCTAACTCCGGTTATGGTGCCATGCCTGCAATAGGGTCGACATTTGGATCTCTGTCGCCTGATATGCTCAATCAGTTTCAGTCATCGGGAGGAGGCAGCCGAGGAAGCCACCGAGAACTAGTCCGTGAACAAAATCCGTGACTACAGGCGAATTTTTTTGTAGTGTTAATAAGTTTCCATCAGATCCAATATATATACGGAGTATATTATTACTATTCTTATTATTATTGACTACATTATTTCAAAATTCAATATAGTTAAATTGGTGCAGCTAAATGTTATTTTACTCCGTAACATTTTGTTATATATTTTCAAAGAATAGTTGTTACATATAATTGCACTATAAATGCCTTGGTAGTCCCTTCCTTGAAATGATGACATGTCTTAGAGATTGTTCATGACATTATTAAAGCTAAGTGTCATTGGTTTTTATAAAACTATATCACTAAAAAATCAGCTAACATTGATTTTTATGAGTATAATAATATCTATATGTCACTTTAGTATCCCCTGAAAATGCATCAAATTCATGATTGGCACCTTAATGAAACAAGAAAAGGGTAATCTAATCTTACATTTGCTGTTAATGCCTGAGAGTTGCTCGTCCACGAAGACGCATCACAATACCGGACAAAAACTCGGTTCTAGTCATAAAAGCCTGGAGTACAGTATTTTTTTCATAAAACAATTCAAATCAAAGCGTTATATATATGCTCAATCAGTTTCAGTCATCAGTTTCAGTCTCTGGTCCGTGACTACATTCTAGTCACGCAGAACTAGTCACTGAACTAGTCACGGAAGAAGTCCGTGACTAAAAGTGTTAGTCACGGACTTTTTTACACTACGGTCCGTGACTAAATCCGTGACTACAGGCGAATTTTTTTGTAGTGTTAATAAGTTTCCATCAGATCCAATATATATACGGAGTATATTATTACTATTCTTATTATTATTGACTACATTATTTCAAAATTCAATATAGTTAAATTGGTGCAGCTAAATGTTATTTTACTCCGTAACATTTTGTTATATATTTTCAAAGAATAGTTGTTACATATAATTGCACTATAAATGCCTTGGTAGTCCCTTCCTTGAAATGATGACATGTCTTAGAGATTGTTCATGACATTATTAAAGCTAAGTGTCATTGGTTTTTATAAAACTATATCACTAAAAAATCAGCTAACATTGATTTTTATGAGTATAATAATATCTATATGTCACCTTAGTATCCCCTGAAAATGCATCAAATTCATGATTGGCACCTTACAAGGTGATGTCATAGGTAATTTGAACTGTATTTAAATATATAATTTGAATCTTTAATGTGTTTGGTGTACCGATTAGGGATGGACTGGTACGGGCCAACCCGGTCCGCTACCCGATCTGCCCCGCTACTGTGCAGGCCCGGCTCGACCCAGTTGACCAAGATAAGAACCAGGTCCGGGACCCGACCCAGATGAAAAAGCAGCGGGCAGCGGGCATCGGGCTCTGATTTTAGGTGACCGGCCGGACCGGGATCGGTTCGGACCTAACGGTCATTAATTAAAAAATAATAATTGGATTTCAAGTTGATACCGGACCTTAAATTCTTAGGCCCGAAGCCCGTCCAGTCCTGGCCTAGAGCCCGGCTTGGTCCCGTACTAGTCCACCCCTAGTATGGATTGGATCCTTTTTAATCTAGAGAGTGAATTGAGCAACTTAAATATACGAGCAATTATTATCATGTTTGGAAATTGTTGCAAATTGTGAAAGTATATATATTGTCATATTGAATGTCTAATAAGACGCACAACACATACACACAACACACACATAGACACGCACACGCGCACATATATATGAATATATATATATATATATATATATATATATATATATATATATATATATATATATATATATATATATATATAATGTATTTGATTATCAAATTAAATACTACTACGTGCTACATAATATATAAAGTTAGAGGGACTAAAATGGATATAAGGTGCCTTTCAACGACATTCATAAAAAAGGTGCCTTCAACACATTAAAAGAGATTTGACGGACTCTATACATACGGATTATTGTGAAAATCGTGAATATTAAGATTTAAGTTCTACACCAAGGGCATGAATTTATATGGAAGTGCTAATAACTTTTCATATTTTTCTGTATTGCTATGATTAATTAAATTATACTACCTACCTCATTTGAATTATTCTTCCCATATAATTATTTCATTCGCAAATTCGTTATAGTAACTGTCTTATACACGAACAAAAATAATACGCAATCCGAACATAGGAAAATTTTCTTAATTATGACATTAAAATTGCCATATTAATGTTTACCCCCTAAGAGTAGCCAAAAAAGGATATAAAATACTCCTTAATAGAATAAGAAACACATAATATGTTTTTACATTTTCTAAGATTCTTTATTTTCATTAAATGTTCTTCCAGAAGGGTTTATGTATGGATTTTATAAAAGAAATTAAATATTATCGTATTATGGTAAATTTGATGTAGTTGTAATGTGTGTTATTATGGGGAAGGTTAACTTTTCTTGTTTTACGGAGTATACATCAGGGAAAATATGAAATTTATTATTACCTCTATCCCACCAGTTTTGAACGATTATATTGAATCATGAGGAGGATTGGAAAAATGAATTTATATGGTTTGACATTTAATAAAAAATAAATCGAGAATAAAGTAAGACTGATACAGAATCATACATACTTTATCAAATTTGGTACTCCGTACTAAACGATCTTAGTTTGATGAATTGAAAAGTAAAGGTGAGATAAACTTAATGAGATGGAATAATCTATCCCTACTCACATTAATTTCATGTTATACATTGATAAGGAGTACTGTGTGGGAAGCAATGGCCGGCCGGCGGTGGAGGAGAGCACCGAATTTGATGATTTGATCAGTGGCATCTCGTCAAGCTTGTGTTGCATTCACAATATTGCAACTTTTGTGGGTACCTTTACCGGCCACATAGGACACCACTTGCTTACTTAGCCTTTTGATCGAGAAAAAAGTTATTGTCACACGAAATATACATACCTTTCGCATATATCATAAGTAATTGTATGTGCACATAGACAATGTGTACACTAGATATGGCAACAGGTCAGGACGGGCGGGTACTGTAAGACATGACCCGCCTCGTGACTTCACTGGGTGGACCTACTCTGCCCTGCCCCGCACGGGTCCAAACTTTTTGACCTTTGAACCACCCCATACGAGGCGGGTCCTCCCGCCCTGTCTCGTTGTAACCTAAATAGCTAGTATGCATTTCTATTTTTGTGAAGTTGTTACCACTTGAATCTACATAAAGTTTATCTATAAATAATTATTAAAAAAAATACAGTATATTAAATCAAACTCACAATACGCTAAAAAATTACTCCGTAATAAATTAATAAAATGTACTTAAACTTGAATAGTTACTCTATTTATATTAATAATTGAATATATAAATTAAAATGCTATGTATAAAACAGACATTGATAATTCGTCGTTCATCTCATTCAAATATAAATATTAGTATATTATAAGACCAATAATTTATGATTTATTGTATACACATATGTGTGTAAAAGTATATTTGTAGTATAATTTTTTTAAAAAAGTATATATACTTATATATTGAGCGGGTCGGATCGGAGCGGATCGGAGCGCCACGGGTGAATAATAAGACCCAGACCCGTCCTATTGTATGGGCAGGGCAGGGTGGACCCCCCCCCCCCCCCCCCCCCCCCCTATTTGCAAGACAGTGTGGGGCGGAGCGGACCCGCCCCAAATGTCTTGAGTCAGGACAGGTCATTGCGGGCAGGGTTTTTTGACATGCCTAGTTTACACCATATAGTTACATGTAGACACAGACAGCCCGTGCAACAATGTTAGTTCGGATAAACAATTACGTACACAGTGTATAGAAATTATGTGTACAAACGGAATTAATGTTTGATTTAATTTGGGGTTCAGTAATAATAATTGACTATTGAGTGTGGAGATGGCTTCTCTCCTTTTTCTGCAATCTCCCCACTTCACGTTTTTTTAGTTCCTCTTGTGATGGGATTTTCGCACTACCAGAAGCTGGTAGCTTTGTTAGTGCCAGTCTGCCCTACTTTTACCCAATCAATTAACATGGTGTAGAATTGGGGCAATGGGAGGGTGGCCACCATTTTTGGCTAATTATTGTAGTGGTTTCTCGCATGTGGTAATTTAATAGCGGTTGCGTTGTAGGCCTTCTTGGGCTGACTCGATTAGGACCATCCGATTTTTTGTATTTTTGTGTGTTTTTTTTTTCCTTTTTCATAATCGGTGTTTCAAAAGATCACATGGCTAATTCAAGGACATGTACTAGATTAACCTCACTCGTTAAAGGGTTACCAAAAATACATGATTGGGTGAATTGTCCTCCTTATCGTTCAAATTGTGATTATAGCCCAATTCTTTTCGAAAGGAAAAAAACTAATTAACATTGATAGAATCAAAGTTTAGTACAATCGAAATATAATGAAGTTCGGAGAAATCAAAAACCAAAATTAACGATGAGACAAAAAACAAGCAGTTTGAGCTAACTCATGAATCACTCTATTCGCAGTTGTGAGTATAGCTCAATTTAATCACCAATAGTTTGTTAGATTCTTACTGAGATGGGAATCATCAATTTTGTTAAATAATGACATGAATACCACCTCCAGTGGTGTATTCTGGATTTTTTTTAGAGGGAAAGCAAAGTTAGACTCAAATTTATTCAAATTTGGATAAACCTCTGAAGGTTTAACTATTACTATCTCTGTCCCACTATGTTTAGGAAGAGAGGGGGTGACACAACTTTCACGAAAAAGTGATATTGTTCGATTAGTATTGAATTGATAAAATGTGAATAAAGTAAGAATGAATTGTAACCAACCAAATATTACCAAATATGGTACGAGTATGTGGCAAACTTAGGCTCTGTTTGGCATGCACATTCAGCCCATTAAGGGCTGGAATTTCTTAATTTCAGTCATTATTTATGTATGGAGCCCTTTTTGGATAAAAGGCTGAACCAAGCTGAAGCTAAAAACAATGATCTGATTACAAACGTTAGGAAGGCTAGCGTTTCTATTCAGCCTACCGCTCAAAACCCTTCGATGCCTAAATTATCCTTATCCTTGGAAAAGTCTTCATTCAACCTTATCACCCAAAATTATTTGTATTTGTTTTCGGCCTCCAGAAAATTCTCAATTAGGCGGCGCCAATGAGGCATCACTAACAAGGGAGTTCCAATTGAGTTAACTATCTTCCTCTAGCTTTATCTCCTCTCAGGCCCATGCCTATACCGATTTGAATTCTTGAGACATTAATCTCATTCTTGGTGCCATGTTATACCCATATTTTCTATTCAAACTATTCATCATTCTTTTTAGAAACCCATCACTATTCAAAAAACTACAATCGTAATATACCAATATAAATTGAAATATAAAATATCAGTACTATGACAATAAATATACAAATATCGTAATATTATAATAAGTATTTTCACTTAATATATTATATGTCTTTTAATGTAACTTTGATTTTTCTAGTCACAATTTCAGTTATTTTTCCCAAACAGGTCTATTTCATTCAGCTAGTATTTCAATTTCAGCACTTTAAAGTTTAAGTACAAACGATAGACTTTGATTCCGACAATAGCACCTTATTTAGATTTTAGCCTCCAGTTCCAGCTCGTTGTACCAAACATAACCTTAACGGGACGAACAAAAAAAGATAAAACGAGATAAAATTAGGGGGAGTGAATACAAGTTTCTTCTCCCTCCAACCCCTACTGAACTGCTCCGCTCCAATTGCTACTGAACCACCCAACAAGGCAACACAGCATTGATTTTTCCTACTTATTTTCGAAAAATTAGTTAGAAATAAGTTATTAAAAAAAGTTGTACTGTACGTGACACAAATGGGGGTCACAATGACCCAAATAGTGACATAATAAAATTGTGGTGACAAAAACAATTACGTGTACACAAAATTTCTACACATTTTATGTACACACCACCACACAATCAGCTCATTCAGATGCTATATGTGTACACAAGCAACTAGGCGTATGTGTATGTACACAATGTGTTTAAATTTCATGTAAAGTATCCTGGCTGTTAAAAAAATATAATACTTGCTAGTGACATAATAAATGAACGGTAGCTTGCATAATTTATCATTTTATTACCTTACAAATCATATTTTTATTCATATATAAATATATTCTCTTGTTAAATTAAACTTTAATATAGTAATAATACTACGGAAAAAGTCCATTATTTATCATTTTAGAATCATCTTCAATTCCAATTGGCGTCAAGTTCACTTCAATTCACACCAATTAATTAATGTGTGATTGCATAGGGACTTTTATTGTGTGGCATATATCTCTATCACAATCTCAATCTCCTAATTAAGCACTCTTGTCAAGTGTTAATGTGAATATGGACCACTTTATTGAGTCTGTTAACAGGTACGTGTGGACTAACGCACATGTCCAACATTATATCTTATTCTGCCGATAGTACTTCAGATTTTTTTTAAAATAAATGAAATTTATTATGTGGAACAACCAATATATTGTTGTGGGGGCATTAACAAACATTTCTTACGTAGGGTGTTTGGTCTTTTCTGAATAAAATATCAAGATAGAATCACGTTATTATTATTACTATCATAATAACATGATAAGCATCTTATAACACGTGTTTTGATTATTAACCATTTGACTACTGATAATGTATGTTTATACTATTATTAATTGAAGTATCAATTTGTCTTTCTTTTTAAATTATGTACTCTAAATATTAGGAGTTAATTTATTTATTTACTTATTTGGATTATTTACTTTCTCTCTAAATCATTGTATTTTAGGAAGTTTATTCCTTTTAGACTTCTTTCTTAGTTTGGTTTAGGGTGAGCCGTAGGTTGAATGTAAAAAGCCATGCGGCTATATAAACAGAAGTACGGAGCAATGAAATACATACAAAACTGATTTTTCCTTCTTCTATATTATTCCCCGCTTCTCTCGTTCCATCATCCTCCTCAGGTACGCCGTTCCCTATAACTCATTACGTTACTTGTGAAAAATTCTCTACAAAACATTTGACTTACTTGGCAGCACTTGATTCGGTTACCGAACCAACTTCTTTTAATGATGCGGTGAAGCATGATGGATGGCGCCAAGCCATGCGTTCCGAAATTCAGGCTCTTGAAAAAAATACCACTTGGAGTCTTGTGCCGTTGCCTCCTGGGAAACGTGCATTAGGGTGTCGATGGGTTTATAAAGTGGCTAAATATCCTTGAGCATGGCGAATGATGATGATGACGGCGCAACATCCGGCGGCACAGCGGCGAAGATTGACTATGCTTCGCCGTACTTCTTGGGTCCTCAAGATCGTGCATTAGGGTGTCGATGGGTTTATAAACCACTTAAATATCCTTGAGCATGGCGAATGATGATGATGACGGCGCAACATCCGGCGGCACATCGGCGAAGATTGACAATGCTTCGCCGTACTTCTTGGGTCCTCAAGATCGGCCCGACGACTTTATTACTTCGGTTCGACTTACCGGGAACAACTATGATGATTGGTCCAATGCTGTAACACCGCCCCCGAGTATTTGTACTGTACCAAATCATGTATTGAACCCTGAGAAATGTATAAAAGCGTTTTTACGTGATTGTAAATTTTTATCGTTTCTTTTACGTGAATAGAAAAATTCACGTGGGGCCCACACCGGAGGTGGGGGCCGCCCGATATTATCGGGGCCACATATTATATTGATCTTGGACTAGATAATATGTATATGGTGGTGGATATCCTAATTGAGCCATGGCAATGGCATAGGGTTGACCGGTTGGTCAAACGGGGCCAAATTATCAGTATCGGCAATTTATTAGATAATAGCCCGAAAAGGGATTTTGGAGACTTCTAAATTAAAGTTGAGGAATGCATATTGATTCTAAGGTCCAATAAGGATTGGGAACAAGTATTATATTTTATTTGACCCGATAAAATAAAATATACTTAAAACAGTCCGGAAAATACAACTTTCGGGACGGATTGTACACGTGGGAACATAAAGGGATGACCTCCCACATGGGTGGGGGCCACCCCACGTTTTTTCCAGACTTGGTTGGTTAGAGGAGTGTGCAAATACTGACTTTGGATGAGAGAGCCGAGCTAGGGGGGAGGTTGAGACAAGAATTGACTCCAAGAGGACCCCCCACCCCTCATCATGGTCTAATGAGCCCAAAATAGACTCCCATCACCCCTTACAGCCATTCATTCGGTTTTGGCATCAACTGAGGTGAGATAAGCTCTGCAACCACCTTATTCTTCACCCATTTTCGCACCAAGGCTAAGGAAGAAGAAGGGGAGGAATAGAGAAGAGAAAAGAGGAAGCTAGAGAGCAAAACTTGAGATTTTCAAGGTAAGGACTTCATTAATCCCATTCCTTTTCTTAAACTATCTTATATGATTATTCAATCATATTTCACACCCTAGGATTGTTCTACACGTTGGGATGTGTAGAAAGAGGGGTTGGAAGGTGGTTCTAAGTCCAAGAACGGACTTAGAAGCCAAAGTGACCGGTTCGCCGGAAAATAACCTTTTTGAGGTTATTTGTATTACTATGGGTTTTATGATGATAAAACCTTGTTAGTAACTTGTCTAAGGTATTCAAGGAACTTTCACGGAGTTGAAAAGGTCGCCGGAGTTGTCGCCGGAGTTCGTTGAAGTTCGCCGGAGTTTCGTCGGAGCTAAATCGGGGAGGCTAGAACTTCATAAGCTTCATTAAGGTGAGAAGACGGCTTTATGCTTTATAACTTTTGCGTGAGGCATGATATTACCTAAAGTAATCAGGAATATGTTTTGTGGAATGATTAAAGATAACCAAGTGTGTGTTTATGCCATGATTATACACAAAACATAGTTAAAAAGCATGTTATGTAGGTTTGGTGATTAAAAATGTGATAACATATTTTGTGTGATGATCCAGGGATCCAAAATGGTATTTTTGGATCAAGGACATCAAGAAGTATATGTGTATAAAATTTCAAGTTAATCGGACTCCGTTTGGGGGGTCAAAAGGGGCGTTGACCGCCAAGTCAACTGCCATACCCGATCGGGTATTGACACATACCCGACCGGGTATTTGTTGAAAATCAGCTTTGTGGACTACTGTCTCCTGTACTCGACCGAGTATGGGTTAATACTCGATCGAGTATTGGGTTATGCTCAAAACGGGCAATTTTGAGTAGGTTAACGTGGGCCGTTCGGGTGGGACCCGCCCACGTTGGATCCTAAGGATTGTTATATGACTATAGGGCTAGGAATTGTCCTTAGTTAAAGGAATGAAAGGTTAGCCATATCCAGGTTAGGATTTGGTAGAGAATAGACTGGGGATTGAGTGCCCTTGGACGGTAAATGATCCAGAATACTCTAGGTGGGGTCGAGTACCCTTGGACGGTAAATGATCCAGAATACTCCAGGTGGGGTCGAGTACCCTTGGACGGTAAATGATCCAGAATACTCCAGGTGGGGTCGAGTACCCTTGGACGGTAAATGATCCAGAATACTCCAGGTGGGACCGAGTACCCTTGGACGGTAAATGATCTTAAATACTCCAGGATGGGTTGAGTGCCTTGGACGGTAAATGATCCTAAAACACTCGGTAGTATGAATCGAAGTAGACTATAGCTTGTGAGCTAGGTAACCGGGAAAGGAGTGAGAAAAGTCAGGCAAGAACTTTATCTCTAAAAGACTCTTTAAGGTAAATGACCTACGGGTTGAGTATTTTTACGAGTATATATACAGTATGTATCATCGGGTGGATGAGGGACATCTATATGTATATATCACCCTATTTTTGGGTCTCGTGTCTGAAACATTAGTTATTCTTCATATAGCCTGCTTGTCACTAGTACTTCTATGGAGTACTGACCCCTCCGGGGGCCCTCACATTTTTCAGGTTGAGGCTAGAGTCCTACTACCTGCACCTTTGCCTAGGGTGACTGATCGAGAAGGAAGACGTGGTTCGTGCTTCCATTCTTATTTCAAATGTATAAACCGCTCATGGATTTTTGAACAATATTTTCATTAAAACAGTTGGGGGCCTGCGTGCCCGTGTTTGCCACGTGTGGCTAAGTATCAAACATTTTATTATTTTCCGCATTTGATTGATTATGATATTGATGTTGATTGTATGTGTTTACTAATCGGTTTGGCAATAGAATAAATCGGACGCCTTGTACAACTCAATAGGGATGAACTGTTGTTGTTCTTATCGGGTTGTACGGCGGTTGTCTACGTGGCTCGGATGCGGTCCGGGGCGTGACAATTAAGTGGTATCAGAGCCATCGATTTCTAAACTATATAATTAACCTCTCAATATGGTTATCCTCAAAAAGTTTTGAATAAAACCATGAGCAACAGTTTTTGTACTTAAGGAACCGTTGGAAACCAAGTTATTGACCTCTTATTGTTAAGACGGTACCCTTAACAGTTTGTTGGCCATAATGTTGGACCAAGTGGTGTCTTTCGTACTAATCCGTCAATTGACATTGAAACGAGTCTAATGACTCATTCCTTATTTCTTTCAGAAATGGAGGGTGGACGCAGGATAACTAGGGGGAATCCGACAGGGCATGTGCCGGGGGCCACCGGGCATGCCACTCGGGCGGAATCATGGACCTCTAGGGGTAGAGGCCGGGGCCAAAGCCGAGGAGGAGGCCGAGGCAGGGGTCGTGGGCGTTCTACCACTCCGACGACAAGTAGCACACGCGTCGGTTCCGTGCACCCGTCATGGGCCACCGAACCGGACGACTTCACCTATGCTCCAAGCACGGAGCAAGAGGAGACCCCGTACAACGGGGAGGACTTTGAGGAAGAAGATGAGGATGATGATCCTCAAAAGAAGAGAGTACACGAACCTGAAACAGGAGGATGGTTGCTCGGTGAGGCAATTGGAACAAAGGTTCCGTGACTTGGCACGATTCATCCCAGAATACTCATTGGATGAAAATCGTATGGCCAATCACTTTTGGGATGCTCTACAGTTGGACATCCGTGACCGGGCTACTTACCATCACAGTATGACATTTAGCCAAATCGTTGATCAGGGGCTCCTCGGGGAAGCCCAATGGAACGAGAGGAAGTTGAGGGACGCCGAGGAGGCGAAGAAAGGAAGATGGGGAAACGCTGGACCCCAAGACCACTCCCGGAAGCATCATGCTGGGGGTGGCAGTTCATTCAGGGCGTCGGCACCACCGGCGAAAAGGAATAAAGGCTCAGGAGGGCAAGGGGCCAAACCAGGGAGTACATGGTCACCGAGGTGTGCAAACTGCGGCAAGAATCATGCGGGGAAGTGCAATGAACCACCCCGGTGTTACAAATGCGGTAGCACGAGCCACCTCAAATCCTCTTGTCCAATGCTGAACGGGGGAGGACCATCGGGAGCCATGGGAGGACCTACGACTAGTAGGGGACGTGCGGGGCCGTCTCAGACCGGCACGGGAAGGAGTGGACCCACGGCTAGCAACGCCGCGTCCGTTAACCAAGGGAGGACCCAAGCACGGGTGTATGCAATGACCGAGGCTGATGCTCGGGCCAACCCGGACTCCATTGCAGGTAATCTCTTGATTTCACACGTATTTGATCATGTAATGGGTTGAAAAAATCTTCAAAAATATGAAGGACCCGATCGGGTACTCCTATAGACCCGACCGGGTATAAGCTATGCTTCGAGTTTGAAGTGTGCACCCGTTCGGGCAGCCAAGGTAGGATGCCTTATTTTTGACATTTCGAGCAATACCCGATCGGGTATGGCTATATACCCGACCGGGTATGTGTATATTTTGAGCTTCGAAGTGTGTACTCGATCGAGCGTATAAGACAGGGAGCTTTTATTTGTGGATTTTGAGTGATACCCGACCGGGTATAGGTATATACCCGACCGGGTATTGACATTTTGTCCGAATTCGAGGCTGGTACTCGACCGAGCAAGGAAAACAGGGGGGTTTCCCCTTAAGAATTCGAGAGATACCCGACCGGGTAGCAGACCCTACCCGACCGGGTATAGGGTAATTCTAGGCTGAAATTTTTCCGTCCGGTCCTTTTCTGTCGGGACGATGACTAGGGTGTCTTACATGACTTATATATGTAGGAACACTAAAGATCAACGATAGGGATGCGAGAATTCTCATCGATACCGGGGCACAACGTTCGTTTGTGAGCGAAGCGTTTGCCAAGGGATTGAACATGCCTTTGGTAGCAATGATGCAACCTTTGCTGGTCTCTACGCCATTGGGAGATGATGTAGAGCGGAAACACTACTATCCCTCGTGTAACGTAGGGATAGGGGGGCACTGTTTAACGGGTGACCTTGTGCCGTTAGATATGCTCGAGTTTGATGCTATACTTGGCATGGATTGGCTCGAAAAACACCATGCGAAGGTAGATTGCTACACCAAGGTGTTAGAACTAAAGGATGGAGAAGGAAACACTCTATGCTTCGAGGGAGATAGAGGGAAATTCAACCCTTGTATCATATCGGCCATAAGAGCAAGGCGTATGATGAGGAAAGGGTGTCAAGCATACTTGGCCTATGTCATAGGCAAGGAGGGCAAGGAAAAGAGTCTCACTGAGGTGAGAGTGGTGAGTGAGTACCCAGAAGTTTTCCCTGAAGAACTCCCGGGACTCCCACCAGATCGAGAAATTGAGTTCACCATTGAAATAGAACCCGGTACAAAACCCATCTCGATTCCTCCATATCGGATGACACCGGCTGAACTTCAAGAGTTGAAGGTGCAATTGGAAGAATTGCTGGACAGCGGATTCATCAGGCCGAGTCATTCACCATGGGGAGCACCGGTACTATTTGTAAAGAAGAAGGATGGTACACTCAGAATGTGCATCGACTACCGTCAGTTGAACAAGGTCACGATAAAGAACAAATATCCTTTTCCAAGGATCGATGACTTGTTTGATCAACTACGGGGGGCAATGGTGTTCTCTAAGATTGACTTGAGGTCAGGCTACCATCAACTGAGGATCAAGGAGAGTGACATACCCAAAAGTGCATTCCGTACGAGGTATGGTCACTATGAGTTTCTAGTAATGTCGTTTGGGCTTACGAACGCCCCCGCGGCATTCATGGACCTCATGAACCGAGTATTCCACCAATACTTAGACCAGTTCGTCATAGTGTTCATTGATGACATTTTGATATACTCCATGAATGAAGAGGAACACGAAAAACATCTAAGGCTTGTGCTTGAAACACTGCGGGAGAAGCAACTCTTTGCCAAATTCTCTAAATGTGAATTTTGGCTTGGGGAGATCGGTTTTCTCGGGCATGTGGTATCGGGCTCGGGCATTTCAGTTGATAACTCCAAGATTGAGGCGGTCACTAATTGGGAGAGACCCAAGAACGTGAAGGAGATAAGGAGTTTCCTCGGTTTAGCGGGGTATTACCGCAAATTCGTGGAAAAGTTCTCGGTGATAGCATCCCCACTCACGAAGCTCACTAAAAAGGGGGCTAAGTTTGTGTGGGATGACAAGTGTGAGAAAGGGTTTCTTGAACTAAAGAAACGTTTGACCGAAGCACCAGTGCTTGCCTTGCCCGTGCAAGGGTTAGGGTACGACATCTACAGCGATGCTAGCATTCAGGGACTGGGATGTGTACTGATGCAATCAGGGAAGGTAATTGCTTATGCTTCTCGGCAGTTGAGGAAGCATGAAGTAAACTACCCCACACATGATCTGGAGCTAGGTGCTGTGGTATTTGCATTGAAGATTTGGAGGCACTACCTCTACGGGGAGTTGTGTCACATTTACACCGACCACAAGAGCTTGAAGTATGTGTTCACTCAGAAAGAGTTGAACATGAGGCAGAGGAGATGGATGGAGTTAATTAAGGATTACGACTTGATCATTGACTATCATCCAGGCAAGGCTAATGTTGTAGCTGATGCACTGAGCAGGAAGAGCTCATCATCAGGGGTTTTACTCACATGCTTACGGGCACTGAGGGCACGCGTGGAGGTATCCACGGATGGGGCGCTATTGGCCAGATTTGAGGTGAGACCCACCTTATTAGATGAAATCAGAACATGTCAAGGCAATGACGAGGAATTTCAGAAAATCCGGGAACGGATGCTTGTGGGGCCCGTCGAGGGTTTCCGTGAGAGAGAAGATGGACTTCTACTATTCAAGGAACGAGTGTGTGTACCATCGGATGAGGAGCTCCGAAAATCTATCCTTGAGGAGGCTCACTCATCTGCGTATGCCATGAACCCGGGTGGTACAAAGATGTACTGGGATTTGAAGGAAAGCTACTGGTGGTCGGGGATGAAGAGAGAAATTGCAGAATACGTGAGCCGTTGCCTTACTTGTCAACAGGTTAAGGCAGAGCACCAACACTCGACAGGGTTACTACAACCACTTACCATTCCAGAATGGAAGTGGGAGCATGTTACCATGGACTTCGTGGTGGGTCTACCACGGACGGTTAGGAACTACGACGCGGTATGTGTAGTAGTCGATAGGCTGACCAAGAGCGCTCATTTCCTACCCATCAACACTACTTATACGCTCGAGCGGTTGGCCAAATTGTACACAGATGAGATTGTGAGACTGCATGGGGTTCCGGTTACTATAGTATCGGATAGAGACCCATGGTTCACATCACGGTTTTGGCCTAAGTTCCAGGAATCCATGGGTACGAAATTGAGGTTTAGCACCGCGTTTCATCCTCAGACGGATGGGCAATCTGAACGAGTGATTCAGATCTTGGAGGACATGTTAAGGGCATGTGCCTTGGAGTTCCAGGGGAGCTGGGACAATCAGTTGGCTTTAGTAGAATTCGCCTATAACAACAGTTATCAGGCAAGTATAGGCATGCCCCCATACGAGGCATTGTATGGGAGGAAATGCCGGACACCATTGTGTTGGGATGAGGTCGGCGAGGCTAAGCTCGAGGGAACCGAGTTAGTTGAGATCACTAAGGAGAAGATAAAAGTCATACAGGATAGGCTCAAGGCTGCCCAAGACCGGCAGAAGAGCTATGCTGATAAACGTCGGAGGACGTTGGAATTTGAGGTTGGTGACGAGGTATTTCTGAGGGTATCACCTTGGAAAGGGATCATCAGGTTCCTCAGTCGGGGTAAGCTTAACCCACGTTACATAGGCCCGTTCAAAATCCTTGAAAGGATTGGGGTTGTAGCTTACCGACTTCAGTTGACTCCAGAGTTGGAAAAGATTCATAATGTATTTCATGTTTCTATGCTCAAGAAGTATGTGCGGGATCCGTCACACATTCTTGAGAAACCACCGGTAGAAATTCGAGAAGACCTACATTATACGGTACAGCCGGTAAAGATCATAGACCGACAGGTAAAGAAGCTAAGGAGCAAAGAGGTGCCGATGGTAAAAGTACTTTGGAAGAGTGATCGTGTCGAGGAGCAAACGTGGGAAGTGGAGACCCTAATGAGGGAACAATATCCATTTCTGTTTGATTAGACACGTGGATTTCGGGGACGAAATCCCAAATAAGGGGGGTAGAACTTGTAACACCGCCCCCGAGTATTTGTACTGTACCAAATCATGTATTGAACCCTGAGAAATGTATAAAAGCGTTTTTACGTGATTGTAAATTTTTATCGTTTCTTTTACGTGAATAGAAAAATTCACGTGGGGCCCACACCGGAGGTGGGGGCCGCCCGATATTATCGGGGCCACATATTATATTGATCTTGGACTAGATAATATGTATATGGTGGTGGATATCCTAATTGAGCCATGGCAATGGCATAGGGTTGACCGGTTGGTCAAACATGGCCAAATTATCGGTATCGGCAATTTATTAGATAATAGCCCGAAAAGGGATTTTGGAGACTTCTAAATTAAAGTTGAGGAATGCATATTGATTCTAAGGTCCAATAAGGATTGGGAACAAGTATTATATTTTATTTGACCCGATAAAATAAAATATACTTAAAACAGTCCGGAAAATACAACTTTCGGGACCGATTGTACACGTGGGAACATAAAGGGATGACCTCCCACATGGGTGGGGGCCACCCCACGTTTTTTCCAAACTTGGTTGGTTAGAGGAGTGTGCAAATACTGACTTTGGATGAGAGAGCCGAGCTAGGGGGGAGGTTGAGACAAGAATTGACTCCAAGAGGACCCCCCACCCCTCATCATGGTCTAATGAGCCCAAAATAGACTCCCATCACCCCTTACAGCCATTCATTCGGTTTTGGCATCAACTGAGGTGAGATAAGCTCTGCAACCACCTTATTCTTCACCCATTTTCGCACCAAGGCTAAGGAAGAAGAAGGGGAGGAATAGAGAAGAGAAAAGAGGAAGCTAGAGAGCAAAACTTGAGATTTTCAAGGTAAGGACTTCATTAATCTCATTCCTTTTCTTAAACTATCTTATATGATTATTCAATCATATTTCACACCCTAGGATTGTTCTACACGTTGGGATGTGTAGAAAGAGGGGTTGGAAGGTGGTTCTAAGTCCAAGAACGGACTTAGAAGCCAAAGTGACCGGTTCACCGGAAAATAACCTTTTTGAGGTTATTTGTATTACTATGGGTTTTATGATGATAAAACCTTGTTAGTAACTTGTCCAAGAACGGACTTAGAAGCCAAAGCTAGAGAGCAAAACTTGGACGGTAAATGATCCAGAATACTCCAGGTGGGGTCGAGTACCCTTGGACGGTAAATGATCCAGAATACTCCAGGTGGGGTCGAGTACCCTTGGACGGTAAATGATCCAGAATACTCCAGGTGGGGCCGAGTACCCTTGGACGGTAAATGATCTTAAATACTCCAGGATGGGTTGAGTGCCTTGGACGGTAAATGATCCTAAAACACTCGATAGTATGAATCGAAGTAGACTATAGCTTGTGAGCTAGGTAACCGGGAAAGGAGTGAGAAAAGTCAGGCAAGAACTTTATCTCTAAAAGACTCTTTAAGGTAAATGACCTACGGGTTGAGTATTTTTACGAGTATATATACAGTATGTATCATCGGGTGGATGAGGGACATCTATATGTATATATCATCCTATTTTTGGGTCTCGTGTCTGAAACATTAGTTATTCTTCATATAACCTGCTTGTCACTAGTACTTCTATGGAGTACTGACCCCTCCGGGGGCCCTCACATTTTTCAGGTTGAGGCTAGAGTCCTACTACCTGCACCTTTGCCTAGGGTGACTGATCGAGAAGGAAGACGTGGTTCGTGCTTCCATTCTTATTTCAAATGTATAAACCGCTCATGGATTTTTGAACAATATTTTCATTAAAACAGTTGGGGGCCTGCGTGCCCGTGTTTGCCACGTGTGGCTAAGTATCAAACATTTTATTATTTTCCGCATTTGATTGATTATGATATTGATGTTGATTGTATGTGTTTACTAATCGGTTTGGCAATAGAATAAATCGGACGCCTTGTACAACTCAATAGGGATGAACTGTTGTTGTTCTTATCGGGTTGTACGGCGGTTGTCTACGTGGCTCGGATGCGGTCTGGGGCGTGACAAATGCTGTCCGGTTGGCTTTACGTGCGCGACGTAAATATGTGTTCGTTGATGGAACTCTCAAAAAACCGTCGCCGCCTTGCACCGAAGATGATTGGCTTACGATACATTCAATGATTGTGTCGTGGCTGTTGAATATTATTGCCCCTGATGTCAAAGCAACGTTGGAACGTTATGAAGATGCCGCAAAACTCTGGGCAGATTTAAAAGAACGATTCTCTTCTGCGGACAGACCACGCATACATCAAACTAAAACTGATTTGGCAAGATGTGTGCAAACTAAAGGCATGCCGGTTGGAACATATTTTGCTAAACTTCAAAGCCTATGGGATGACTTGAATAATTACGAACCGCTTATTGCGTGTACATGTGGGAAGTGTACATGTGATGTAATGGGACAACATGAAAAACGAAGAGAATCGGAATGATTTCATCAATTTTTGATGGGATTGTACACCGATTTCTTTGGCCCTACCCGCTCGCAGCTCTTGACTCAAACACCCCTGCCTAGTTTGAACAGTGCCTATCAACAAACTATGCAAGAAGAACGAGTACGTGGCTTTGTTCAGACACAAGAAGAAAGACCTGATGTTATGGGTTTTGCCTTGCGGACAGATGGCAAGGGATTTGGACAAGGAGGAAAGACAGACAAATCCGGATTAATTTGCGCATATTGCAAATACTCCGGTCATGAAATTGCTAATTGTTTTGAGCTTAATGGTTACCCGGACTGGTGGGGAGACAGACCAAAACCGGGTATCAAGGGAGGAGGACGCGGCAAGTCTTCAAGACCTGGAACGGGGCGTGGAAAAGCTCCTGTGAAAGCACATGCAGCGGTGGCTGATTTAGCAGCCGAGAACAAAGCTCCGCCAATTGGTGAGGGAAGCAGCAACCAATTGATCTCACTGCCTGGCTTCACGCCTGAGCAATAGAAATCCTTGTTGACCGTTTACGGTAACCCTACAGTCTCTACTGATCGCGTGGCAGGTAAATTTGATCATAATGCATGGATTATTGATACAGGGGCAACAAACCATGTTTGCGGAAATTTGGCCATTTTTTCTCAAATTAAATCAGTTGAGCCTTGCTTAGTTGGTCTGCCGAATGGGCAGACAGTTGAAGCTACGCGGGAAGGCCGAGTAGAACTGTTTGAAGATCTTTATTTGAATAATGTTCTATATGTCCCTGCATTAAAATGCAATCTTATCTCGGTATCTCAATTAAGTGATCAATTAAATTGTTTTGTTCAATTTGCTAGTAACTTATGCGTTATACAGGACCGTCACTCGAAGAGGCTGATTGGAATGGGTGAGCGGCGGAATGGACTGTACTATCTTCGGGAGGAACCCTCAGCGAGGATCTTGGCAGTTAGGGACTCAAAGGAATCTGAAGTTAATTTATGGCATCAACGATTGGGGCATCCTTCTTCAAAAGTTATTGAACACTTGGTTCCTGTAAGTGGTCTGAAGGGTGCTGGCAGTTTACCTTGTGATATTTGTTTTAGGGCAAAGCAGATACGAGATTCGTTTCCTATCAGTTTAAATAAAACTCATGCTATTTTTGAATTAGTACATTGTGATTTGTGGGGTCCTTATCATACCCCTTCTTCGTGTGGTGCTCGACACTTCTTGACTATTGTGGATGATTACTCCCGTGCAGTATGGGCTTATTTATTAGTTGACAAAAAGGAGGTGTTAAAAATGTTTCTTTCTTTCGTTGCTATGGTTGATCGCCAATTTTCTAAGAAAATCATTACTGTGCGAAGTGACAATGGCACTGAATTTAATTGCCTGAAGGATTTTTTTCAGAAGCAGTGGTATAATTTTTCAGACGTCTTGTGTTAGCACGCCTCAACAAAACGGGCGTGTTGAACGCAAACACAGGCATATTTTAAATGTGGCACGTGCCCTGAGATTTCAAGGGCACTTGCCAATTTCTTTTTAGAGAGAAAGTAAATAATCCAAATAAGTAAATAAATAAATTAACTCCTAATACTAAAATACTCTTCTTTTAATCTTCATATTAATCTTCAATTTGATTTTCATCTGTTTCAAAATAATCTTTTTTTTTTGCCAAAAAAATTGTACTTCATACCACTTTTACACTTTTCATTCTCCTTTGAAGATCTCTCCATCATACAATTCTTTGTATCTTAATTTATGTGCAAAAACAAAATTAAAGATAATATTGGGATGGAGCGATCGATATCAAGATTCATACTAAAATGTTAACATGATATAATGTCACATTGTACAAAAAACATTAAATACCGTGTATCATATCATTTAATATCCACCCAGTGTATAGTTGAGCGGTGCATTTTAAAGTGATATCAAATTAAAATTTACTAAGAGAAATTAAAATTATTGATTTAATCACGTACTTTTGAATATTCGGCCCATTCCTCTTATAAATTTAGCTTGCAGATTTGATCCTCTTACTAGTAATGTTTTCTATATCAAGGACTTTCCCTTTGAAAATTATATTTACGGCAGAAATGTTAATGTCGAAGACTTATGTTTCAGCATGTTTTTTGTTTGTCAAAAAATACACTTTCCTGGAGAAAAGTCTTTACAATAGACATATTTGTTAGCTACAAGCTAAGATCAAATTTAAAGGTCGATAAAATTAGAAATAATTCTAAATATATAATCAAAATAAAAGTAGTGAACACAAATATGACTCTAGTAACTTTAATGACAATAATTGTATTCAAATGTTTACATCGTAGTGATTATAAAACTTTCTCATGGTAACTTGTAGTTACATTTTTGTCCATAGATTTTTTATCAGTAATATTTTAAGAAAAACCTCATAAAATTACATGACTCATAACGGGCACAATCGAAAGTCACGGGACTAAAGTTGCAAATCTCTCAAAATACTCATGACTACATATATGACTAATATGTAACAAAACACCGTGTGTGTTCATGATAATATAGTTCACATGATAACATATAAACTTACATTAGATCGAATTAGAGAAGGTTAGGGGTTGATCATAACTAACTAGATCAAAATAAATCACATTACCTCCGTCTCATTGATTTGAAAAATTACCGTTTTGTTTAGTAAAATTTATTCATTATTATAATAATAATAATAATAATAATAATAATAATAATAATTATTATTATAAAACAATTGCTTTTCAAAAATATAACAATTATTTTTTTATGATTATATATCATTAATAACGGAATTGCCATTATTAATCCCTTAAACTATACAGGGTAAGCAGTAGATCGAACTCTTCCATGTAGGAATTATATAAGGGCCTATTGGCTATCAATCCCTTATACTGGTAATAAAGGAATTGGCCCTTATTGTTCAAGTAATAAGGAGCATTTTTATAAGGGATTTGATAAGGACTCATTCCCTTATTAGTTATAAGGAATATATAAGGGATCCTTCCTTATTTCAATATTTTCATTGGCCTAGTGACGTTTTTGATCATCATCATTATTATTAGGTAGATTCTATGGTACCCATAAGGTACCATACCTTTGTCCACATGGACCAATGAAAATGTAGCAGTTGAATTATTTAAATCTAAATTAAAAATGATAAAATGATGTGGTCCAATTAAATGAAGGATAGGTACGGTACCCTATTTTTTAGAAAGGTACCGAAGTTGTCACCTTATTATTATCATACTCCCTCCGTCCCGCGATGAACTTCACAGTTTGACCTACACACATATTAAGGAAATAAACTTACCATGGGGTAAATTTTACTGTTTTGACATTGTTTCGACACTGTTTGGCACTGTTTCGACACTGTTTGACACTGTTTTGCATTTTTTCGACACTGTTCGACACTGTTTTGCACTGTTTGACATTGTTTTGATGTAGATTAACTTGCCATTTAAGGAAATGAGAATTTATTTTTGGGACAACCAAAAAAGGAAAGTAGGAAGTTCATTGCGGGACGAAGGGAGTAACACATAGTCTTTACTTTATAAATTCACGGTTATTTATTTATTAACCCTAAAAGCTATATATACATGGACACATGGTTATTTGTTTATTAACCTTTAATTTACAACCACCAGGCCATGCCATGGTTGTGCTAATTAGTTAGTGGGCTCTTGAATTGTGATTGTGGTGTCAGGCCGGGAAGCTCAGAGAAGTTGGTTTCAAACCTCATGCAAGTTTTGTGTGAGAAAGTCATGAGTCATGCACGTGGAGGAAAACTTGTTGAACGGCTTAAGAGATATATATCCGGCTAAGTGAATGAAGTATTGGAGGGCACCGGCTAAACTACGATAAAGAGTTGGATCCGAGACAGGGGGTCCGTTTTCGGCGCCAAGCTTAGCCGAAGTGTCAACAAGAGTGTGACATGGGTTGCACGACTCCATACCAACACGTGTGAGAATTTCCTTTGCGTATTTGTGTTGGGATATGTAACACCGTCCCCAAGTATATTTTCTTTTAGTAAATCATGAAATAAACCTTGAATAATGATTCATGAATTTACGAAGTTGTAAATTTTTGTTATTACGTTTGCGTGAATAGTGAATTGCACGTGGGGCCCACATCGGGAGCTGGGACCACCCGATAATCCCGGGACCACATATTACATTCATCTTGGTCTAGATAATATTATATGATGATAAATATTTCAGTTGGGCCATAGAAAGGGCATAGGGTTGACCCGTTCGTCAAATGAGGCCCAATTACCGGTATTGGTAATTTATCGGATAACAGCCCGAAATGAATTTCAGTGACTTCTAAATTAAAGTTGGTGAATGTATATTCATTCTAAAGGTCTATAGTGATTTAGAACGTGTAACATATTTTATTTGGCCCGATAAAATAAGATATAATTAAAACAGTCCAAGAAATACAACTTTCGGGGCCGATTGCACAGTTTGGGACTTATTGGGATGACCTCCCACATGAGTGGGGGCCACCCCACGAAATTTTGTACTCTACTTGACAAGGGGGAGCCACACAACATGGTTGTGAGGCAAGAGGGGGGGCTGAAGTTGATGGTTGGTGAAAAAAGGTACATGGATGGGCTCCCTCCCCCTCATTATTTCCAAGTAAAAACAAAAGAGGAAAGTCTCCTCCTTCCACCCTCCATCCATCTCGACCCAATCTATCCAATAGGGATAGAAAGATCTGCAAAATACCTACCTCCATATCCAAAAACGAGCTCAAGCAATAGGAATCAAAAGAGGGGTTTTAGAGAAGGAAAAGTGAAGGAAAGTGTGGAGAGATTAAGGTAATGATCTTGTAATAAGTTTTCCTTCTCATGATGAATTACATATGAATTTTATATCATATGAAGGACCCCTAGAATTGCTCTACATGTTTAGAAGTGTAGAACAAGGGGTTGGAGGGTGGTTCTAAGACCAAGAACGGACTTAGAAGCCAAAACGACCGGTTCGCCGGAAAATAACCTTTTTGAGGTTATTTGTGTTGATATGGGTTTTATGATGATAAAACCATGTTAGGGGCTTGACTGAAGTGTTTCTAGAGTTTGCCGGAGTTCGCCGGAGATTCGCCGGAGTTTCGCCGGAGTTCAACTAAGGAGAGTAGAATCTTCTTAAAGCTCATTTGAGGTGAGTGGTTGGTTTAATGTCTTGTAACTTTTGGGTTAAGCATGAGATTACCTAAGTATATGTTATGTGTGTTCATAATAATGTTTAAATGAATTAAACATGTGATTAGCCAATTAAAGTGATTAGGCTTATATGAAGTGAACTATTGAAATATGCATGACTTGTGGAGTGAAAATGCTCATAAAAACATATGTGATATGCTTAGAGATGAAATGTGCATAAAATCATTATTTATAACTTAGTACATATTGTGACTAAGTTGACACACATTGGATTTGGAATGGCGGGTCAACCGAGAGTTGACCGGCGCCGGTTTGGCCTTACTTTACCTATATGCTAATTTTAATGCATGACTTGCATGGATGCTTATGTTTAGGCCTTAAGACTTGGTCTAGTCTTTTTTATTGATTATGATATAGGCCCTATCTAGTATGATATGTGGTAGATCATAGGTCGGGTGGAGTACCCAAGGATCGGGCGGTATCCTCAAAACCCGGTTATATAGGGTGGAGTACCCAAGGATCGGGCGGTATCCTCAAAACTCGGTTATATAGGATGGAGTACCCAAGGATCGGGCGGTATCCTCAAACTCGGTTATATAGGGTGGAGTACCCAAGGATCGGGCGTGTATCCTCAAAACTCATAGATTACTATTTAGTAATTCAGGATCGAGCGGTGTCCTTATGATTATTTGATTTGGACAGGAGGAGTCCTATACACTCATAGGTCTATGGGTGGGTTGAGGTTTTAAGTCAAGGACATTGACTACTATTATTTTTCCCAATTAAACAAGGGGTTTTGCCTTCCATATTACTAAACTAAAGCTAATTTCCAAAAAAGTGACCACATTTACATTTGGACAAAAATGTGACTAAGATAGTTATTCATGTCACTGCACCACTTCTATTCACTGTCAGATGTCACTGTCATTATCATCGCTCGTGTCACTGTCAGATGTCACTGTCATTATCATCGCTCGTGTCACTGCCGCCGCCATTGCTCAGGTCACCGCCGCCGCCGGCCACAGTGACACCTCTGCAGTGACATCTCCGCAGTGATATTTCCGCCCCAAATTCTGACCACAGTGACATGAACACACTAACATCCACCACTTCCTGTGACCGGTGACCATCACCGGTCATAGTGATTCCTCCATAGTGACGCCACCACAGTGACATCTCTGCCCCAAATTCTGGTCACAGTGACATCTCTACCGCCGTCCACCACAATTACTCCGGCCACCACCAATCACCATCGCCACTGTGCCTCAGCACTTCCACTGTCCATCACCATCCCAACGCCCCAGTCCCGGGAAAATCCCACCCCCAGCCCATGCCCCTACCCCTGAAGCCCCGCCCCTTGACCTCCCCCAACCACCTCTCAAGTTCAACTCCAACCAGCCGACCCCGTTCCAACCCTCCCCGTCCTCTACTCTAACCAACTCAGATCTGAAATGTTAAAGACAACCAATGAAGCTTCCTCACAATTGAATAAAATAAAGAAGAAATAGAAGCATGGGGAATGACGATGAATACGGAAATTACGGCGTACAGGGGCGATGAAAACACTGGGTGAAGGGAAGATGGCGACACCGGGGTGAAGGGAAGACGGTGACACCGGCGTGAATAGTGGCGTCGCCGGAGATGAATAAAAGGAAAGAAGAGAGCACATCAGCACATAGCAGATCTGCGATGCAGCAACAGTGACTAGGAGGTGACGACCTAGAGGCGGTGACCATTTGGAGAGACGATCTAGAGGTGGAGCAACCTGACCTGCCATCTCCGCCTCATAGCTTTGTCGTTCTTTGCTGGAGCCTGGAGGCCGCATAGCTTTGTCGTTCTTTGCTGGAGCCTGGAGGCCGCATAGCTTTGTCGTTCTTTGTTGGAGGCTTAATTGGAGCTGGTGAGTAATTTGCTTGGGAGGGGGAATACTGGGCGGCCCAACAAGGCAGCATACGGACAGTCCATATCTCTAACTCACTTTTTTGTCCAATCCTAAATTGATCATATTTTTTTCTAGTGAAACCTTAGGAGTAATATTTAGGCCATTGTTTCATTAAACAATGACCTACGGGTCGGGTATTTCCAAGTGTATATAAGTACTGATATGTATTTGGTAACTTGGGGTAAGGAAGTATAAGTATATGTATCACCCTATGTTTGGGTCTTATACTTGAAACGTTAGTTACTCTACATTTAGCTTGCTACTCGCTCGGTTCTTGTACTGACCCCTTCGGGGGGGCCACCATTTCAGGTTGAAGCTAGAGCCTGTTGTCTACACCTTTGCACGGGTGGAAAGAATCTAGAGGAAGACGTGGTTCGTGCTTCCTTTATTATTTTAAATCATAAACTATGCTCATGGATACTTTTGTAATATTACATTGTTTTGGCCTGCGAGCCTACGTTTTGCCATATGTGGCTTATGATTGACCGTTGAATATTTTCCGCTATTCATTCAATCTATGATGTTGTTATGTATGTTTACTACTGAGTATGGTGTGAACGATGTTCATGAACGCCTTGTGTGATTATGTGAGGTTGACTTGCGAGTGACGTCACTTAATCACACGGCGGTTGTACACGCGCTTAGATGCGGTCTGGGGTGTGACAGGATAGGAATAGGCTGCCAGGTTGTCTAGTGACAGCTGATGGTCCTGGATAGAGTTAAAAGTATAAAGGGGTGGGTGAATAGACTTTTAAAGCTTTTTCAACTTAAAAATTGTTTCCTTACTAGATAGAGTGATCTACAACCTTTTAGGAGATTATAGATGCACAACGGAAGTCTTGACCTCTATATATGAGTGTATGACAACTTTCTATTTAGTGAGTTTTCTCTGGAAGTGGTAAATGAACTTGTGAGTTAGGATAGTAATCAGATTATCCTTATAGATTCTAAATAAGTCTTTGGGAAGATTATCAAGATGTTTGGACTTGTTTAGGTGGGCAGATGCCTGAGCATTAGGGTAGGCAGTAGGCTGCTGTTGACGCTGCTGCTAGACTATAATGTGAATTTGAGAAATCTGATTATTAGGTTTTACTTAGGATGATGAGAGCTTTTTGGAAATGTATTTAGCTGACTCAAAGTGAAGGTTTGTGTGAGCAGCAGGCTGGGCAGCAGAGTAGGCAACATGGTGTTGCGGAGGTTGCTGCTAGGTTATAATGTGAATTTGAGAAATCTAATTATTAGCTTCTTTGGAATATAATGGTTTGGTGAGGCTATTGTGATATTCAAATGTCTTGAAGAAAGAGTATAGATGGACAACAGGCTGAGCAACAGGCTGAAGTGAGGCTGTTGTTGAAGAATGTTTTCTTTCTTTAGGAACTGTTTTTGTCAGTTCAAAGTACTAGGATTGCGCTTTCTTTTGAGTATAAGAGAAGCCTGATTGGATCAGTTTGATATTTTTTCTCTTCTTCTTCTTCTTCTTCTTCTTCTAATCAATGTCCAGTGCACTGGGTATACTGAAATGCTTCAGAATTAATGCAGTTTACTGTTTAGTTAAAACTCATTTCAAGTTAAAACTAAGGACTCAAAAGTATAAATGTTTAGTGTGTGCTTTGTTGACTGTAAAGGAAATCAACACACATTATATCCTGGTTTAGAGGTGGTGTAATCCTCTTACATCCAGTCCCACCCTATTCCGGATGGATTTCCACTAAAGTATTAAGCTCAATACACTTAGTGCCAATCTAACTTTAATCACAAAAGCGGCCTAGATTGAAGGTGTTTCACAAGGAATACACACCACTCCAAGTTACTCAATCCTTAGGTTTTCTCAACTGATCTAGTAGGGATCAAAATGTACTCCATCCTATCTACCCACACTTAGGACTTGATCATAAAGTCCTCCTAAGAAATCTAAACTCTAACTAAGATCTAAACTTCCAGAATATAGCAATAAAGAGTTCTAACTTGGAAGTTTAGTGAAGCATGAGTCTAAGAAGAGAGCAAAGTTCAACAAACACTTTCTCTTTTGTTAGATATCTCTTCAATGCTTAGTATGGTTTTCTCTACTTAGAAGACTCAAAAACTTATCTTAGAACTCATACCTATGCCTATATTTATAGGCTTCTCGAGTTGATTAATCTCATCCGTTGGTTGAGATGAATTAATCCTTATCGTTGAATCATTTGGTCATAGGATAACCTGTTGTTGTTTGTCTTTTTGTGCTGGAGCTGATAAGGAAAATAATGTTGATTTTTCTTGTCGTTACTTTATGAGCCGCTGATTTATTTTGAATTGAATCCACAACATTCAATTGGCATCTTTTGTTGATCCATTAACCTGTGCATACCATGCTCATGGCCCCATGTACGGCTTATGCATTTAATGTCCATCAAGTTTTGTCTTTAATCATATACATACAATGTATATGATTTTTCTTTTTCGTTGGAGTATTTGACTCCATAAAATGTGTCATGGTTAATTTTTGTGTCACAAATAAAATCAATACTGGTAGGACACAATATCCTTTTAATGTAATTAAAAATTACCTTATTGCATTTTTAATTTCCAGTATATTTTATTTGTTACAAAAAATTTACATTTAATTTTGTCACTTGTAATTGCATTCTATTTTGTTTTGTTCCTAAAATTGATTCCGTACTTTTTGTTTTTCTTTTTTTTCTTCTTTTTAGTACGTTAATCAAATTTTGAACAAAGTAAAATTGAGTCACACAAAATAGAACAAAATGCACAAGGGCAAAGTATAGTGGCATCATCAAAATCTATCAAAATGAGATCCTAACAATAGCAATGCCAAGAAAATAGGTAAGTGAGCCCAGGTCTTTGGTAGAAAATTCAGCATCAAGTTGACCAATAAGCATATGAAGGAGCTTAGGTGTGGATGCAGTGATGACAATGTCATCGACGTACAATAATAAATAGACAGTTGACAGATAAAGGCAATGTTTGGAAAACAGCGTTTCAGTCCATTTTTGGCGGGTTTGATTGGATTTGGCGGTTTGAAGCCCTGAAAAAGCCGAATTTGAGTGTTTGGTAGTTAGCAGATTGATTTAGCGGTTTGGGTCAAAACGCCAAAAAAGAAAATGCTGCATAACCCAGCGTTTAGGCTCCAGTGGTTTTAATATACGTAATAATTCTCAAAGCTACCTTTCCATATTTATTCGATGCTGCTGTCCATATTCGCCGCTGCAAAGCTCCAAAGCATAATGTCGCAACTCCAATTTGTTTTGAAGGTACATATATTTGCTATTTATCTGTAATTTAAGCGTAATCCCTCTCCTCCTATTAAGTAATTACTTATGAGAGAAGTTATGCACGATATATAAGAAACCTCAACATAAGAATTATGATTCATTCATTCTCCTGCATCAAAGCATAAATCACACGTGGTATGTGGGTGCCACATGTCATATATAAATAGTGTGATGGGGGCATGTGGCTATCATGCGTAGAACCTCTAGATTCTACAAAGTACTCATAGTATGCCATATATGTGTGATTAATCTTTGTACTCTGTAGTTGATTTTTTATTAAAAATCAATATAGATTCATGATAAGCGTAAAAACTCAAATTGGAAAAACCAAATAAAAATAGAAAGATATCGATCGATAAACAAAAAGATCACGTATACATACATGAGTTATAAAAGTATACGTGGTATTAAACAACAAAGAGCATATTCTAAAATCTACAAATGTCATTTTTTGTCTTTTTATGCATTAACCGCTACAAGTAAACATCTAAGTTACCAAACATATTTCTACAACCCGCCAAATTAATCTGCCGGTCAAATCCGCTAATTCAACCTACTATTTACAACCCGCTAACATTATCCGCTAACCGCTAACCGCTAACCGCTGATTGCCAAACAGGCCCAAAATGGAATCAACCACTTGACCCTTTATTAACAACTTTCAGAATTTAGTGCAATTGATGGACCGACTTTTCATGACACATGAAAGTGACATTTTTTGAGTGGGAAAAACACCAAAATTTCTACTTGCTTTTATATATCGATTTTAATGTTTTCAATGTGTTTAGAGTTCATATAATAACTTGTGTGTATGAATTAACTAAGAATTATTGAATTACCTTGATTAAGCTTCTTCACTATGAAGGAATACTTCTAAGCATCTTGCAAGTAAACTAAAAAAAGATGACCAAATCAATGAAGTTATAAAAGAAATGTTATTCCGGGATTAGTACAAATGTGGGAGCAGAACATAATTGAAACGAAGTAGATATTGTATTTTAGTATAGGCAATAGAAGGTTATACCTTGTACAGAAATCCATCGATGTGATAATATATGAAAGAAATCTGCATTGGGTTGAGATAAGGGCCATAATCACTCAACCCAAATTACAGTATAAGATTGCATTCAATAGTTAGCTGAAAATATGAAATGACGATTTTCATAATACATATATTTCTAAATAATCAAATGACCGACATTTTTCATGCTTACTTGTTTATTTAGCAACTTAATAAAAACGAAAACAAAGAAAACCATACCTACCACAGTTTTGTTGTTTATATGCCAATTAACATAACACGGATTACTTAATTTCCCACCTATAGTCACCTGCTATTGTTTATACCTAAATGTTTAGACAATATATTAAAAACGCCTTTTTTACTTCAACAAAATCTAGTGATAGCAAAAACAAATACAACAAACAATCTGTTGGGTGTGTTTCGAAAAAAAAAATTAATAAAAATTACTCCATCCATCCCTGAATGTTTGTCACACTTTGACTTCACAAGTTTTAAGGAGTTGAATTTGACTTTACACTGTAGCAACCCTGTTTCACACTGTAGCGTCACTGTTTGACACTATTTTGCACTATTTGACACTGTTTGGTATAGATTTGTTTACCAAATAAGGAAGTTGAAAAAGTATGACAAACATTTTCGGACATCCGTTTCGGGAAAGTGTGACAAGCATTTAGGGACGGATGGAGTAATTAATTAAAATGACTAAAGAAAAATAGAAAATAGATGAAGCAGATTTTAGCTAGAGCTCGTGCTACGCACGATGTCCTTAAAACGTATTCGTCGCCTCCCACGATACTAGGAGCGTTGCAACGATCATTTCCCAGGATACGGTGGCTAACGAACTAACGTTTGAGCACACAAACGAAAGTTTCGGCGAACGGGAACAAAGAAGAACACTGAAGAAATTTTTGGAGAAGCTGGAAGTGTTTAGAGGTCAAAATACATGCAGATAGTGTATGATTGTATGTGTTGTTGCAAAGCATCTGCCAGCTATTTATAGGAGGATTTGTTGTGTGTTAAATGGAGTGTTAATGGACTTGAACATTGGACATCAATGACCAGTCCGTTGGGAATTGAATCCTCCATAAACTGTCCATTTAAAACTGCATTAAAAGACAAGAACGTTGAGCATTTAATGACTGTAACAGCTTGGAGCAGTTCTGGTGCGCGACCAGAATACCCCCATCAGAGTTGGAGCAACTCTGATGCTACCAGAATATCCCCACCAGAGGTGGAGCATCTC